TTTTCACGATGGTAAGACTGGGCATACACTGTACGATTTAACCCGTTTTTTACCCGATTTTTGAGACTCACGACCTGTTCACATTTGCTGAGCCATCTCCAAGGCCAGATGGTCCGGCGCCTCTTTTTTTTAGAATTTGCAGCGCACAGTATTGCAGCAATCAATAGGGCAGCCTTCTTCTTTTTGTATAGCATGTTGCTAATAACCGTCGCCGGAGCTTTCACATAAATCTCTATTGACAGCTGTCAATAGACAGGACAGTCAGCAGGGGCCGATGGGCTGTTTTCACCGGCACCGTGTGAGCCCTCTGGTCGTGTTCGATGATAGGACCGTACAGTGTGAGTACATAAATCGTGAGCTTTGGCCTTACATTGTAGACGATTACTTGTACAATGTGTGATGGTATCAACGACAAGCTTTAAAAAAAATCGTACAGTGTTTGCCCGGCCTTTGGCATGTCTTTGGTAATATTGGTAAATATTCATATAAAATACTTTTTGGAGTTTTTAGCACAAATTATTCACTTGGCAGCATGTTTTGCAACACAAACTTGCATTTTGAGGCATTTTTTTTTTTTGCATTTTTTTCATGATAGTAAGACTATAGTCTTGCTTGTTTTGGGTGATATTTCAACTTGATCAGATATAATTTTTTCTCGAGTTTTTAGCAAATTGTTCACTTGGCAGCATGTTTTGGGTCATAAACTTGCATTTTGAGGCATTTGTGGGACTTGTTTTTTATGATATTTTGTGATTGTTTACAAGATAGAAAATGAAAAAAGCTGTGATATGTATACATATATACAATATAAATACTGTAGTTTCTATACCTTTACATACAATGAATAAGCTGTAATAATAATAATAACTGTACACAATATACAAATTGTAATTATAAATAATTATAATAGTATATATATATTATAATATTATAGGATAAATATACACAAGGTATAAGCATGGGTATACATAATAAAATATGTAAGTATGTAAAGTAAGTATCAATATAACTGGCACTTTGATTCTACACAAACCACACAAACATACACTGATACCTCTCTTTATTTACCTAGAGGTTGCAAATGCCAGTGTACCACTAGAGGGATGTCGGGAGTGATGATGGTCTGTGAAGCTGAATGGACCCCTCACTATGAGAGGGTGGAGCTGTCACAAATGAGTGTGCATTTCTAAGAACTCGTAGCCTTTAAAGGCTCTCAGAGACGTTCTCTCACCTCTGAGCCTGATTCACACAGTCATTCCTGCATGTGAGTGAATCTAGGACGAGAATCCAGGGCACTCACAGACGTTTTCTGGTGCTTATTGTGCTTGATTTACAGTGTATCATTGGCTGCTTGTTTATTTTTAGAACCCAGAGATGTATCGTTCTGTAGAATGCTGGGAGGAAAAAAATATTGAATTCTTCTCAGCCAAGGTCATGGATGCAGCTGATTCCAGTGCTGTGGGATAAATTAACCACATTCCACAGAAAGGAATCATCTGTGACCTGGTATAAAAGCAGATAAACTCAATCTGTTTTTTTTTTCTGTTTCTTTGTAGTGGTGGGGACAGAAGGGGCCTGGTGTTGTTCTACAGCAGTAAAATCACCATCTGGTGCAGCCATAATTCAGTCTGAAAACTGAGTCACAGCAGCAGCATCAGCAGTAGCTGGAGGAGCTGTAATTCAACTACAAAAGAGGTATGGATTTTTCTGAAAAAAAAAAATTCTCTAATTCTCAAAATGCTTCCATGTAATGAGAAACTTCTTACATCTGAACAAATATGACTGCTACGCTAAATAAGGATTTTGTTAAACATAAATACATAAAAATGTAATATTTTGGGGGTGGAAATATTTTACACCCCCCCGAAATATATTGGAACCCTCTCATGCCTAATCTCCCCACCGCCCCGGCACCGGAGAGCTGTCAGTTTTAACTTGGGAGTTTAAGGTAAAAAGCTTGAGACTTACCCATGACTTGTAAAACAATGACTTGATCCCACCTCTTGTATCCACTTTTCTCCTTTAGCCTGGAAACATCTGAGGTTTGTTTTAGCCTGTAAAAGCCTGATAGACTGGCAGTTTAAAAATATCACCAGCAACAAAAACACCTGTGGGCTTAAGAATAGACAACAGCTGACTTTCTGCTACTTGAATTATTTTCCAACACATTCTTGTACTTTTCTATTTTTGGCCCTGTGGGAATTTGCTTTTCTTCAAATCAGTCTTTCTTTCCTTGAAAAGATTCATCAAATAAGCAACATTACCACGAGTCATGTTTAGAAACCGCTCATGTTTAGAAATTCTTTCTCTGCAGTGAATTGGTATGCAGAATGAAGAGAGAAAACATGAGAAATTCAGTACTAAGGATAAACTGACAACTGTCTTATAGACTGTTGCTTTTTGATTTAAATCAAACATAACCAAGGCTGTGTAATGATCTGGAGCTACATTATGAAATGGTCAGAATGTAGCTCCAGGTCATTACACAGACTAAAGACCAGGTTAAGCCTACCTTTCTATAAAAACGTTCATGCACTAGGTGCACTGCAACAGAAGTTCTCAAACTATGGTTTGTGTACCACTGCTGGTAACACAGGCTCCATCAAGTGGCAAAAGGGACCTGGTCAAAAAAAAAAAAAGTACGTCAGCACAAGATTAGAAATGAGATTGCTTGCATACCACTGGTGGTACTCGGGCTAGTAGTAGGTGGGATCTAATCCAGCCCACCTTTCTTAACACCTAAAAACAATTGGTTGAATAGGATTGTACGTGAATGAAAGTTAACACTAACCAACTGTGACCTCTGCTTTAACCCATCACCAAAGTGAACAGTGGACAGCTGAAGCACCCAGGGAGCAGTGTGTGGGGACGGTGCCATGATCAGAGCACCTCAGTGGTAACTTGGCAGCTGGTGGACTCGAACCTGAAACCTGACCCAAGTCCACTTCCTTAACCACTAAGTCACCACTGCCCTTGAATGGGGCATACCTGTGCTGCTGTGATGTTGGTCATACTGGTGGTATCTGGAAACAAATATTTTAAGGTCCTATGCAGTGTAAAAAAAAAAAAAAAAAAGCTAAGTAACGGGGGATTGGCTTTTTTTTTTTTTTTTTAGCAAACATGCAAAAGTTTTTGAGCTTTTGACTCTGAAGTATTCACTTCAAATACAATGTACAGGTATGATTGTTTGCAGTGAAATACTAAACAAAACGGATCTTTCATTGGTGGATAGCAGGTGTTCTGCTGTAACACTATGCAAATAAGCAGCAACTAAAATAACCATCATGTCAATAGATAATAACCTGTCAGATAACAAATAAAACAGAAAAAATGTAAATTATGCATTTGTGAGGCACGGTACCAATTGACCCATGGACCGGTGCCAGTCGGCGGCCCGTGGACCACTGCTTTAAACCACTGATTCTTAATCATACAAAAACTTTCAGTTTTGCACATGTGCAGCAAGGGTCCCTGGACTGCATGAAATCTACTGAAGAACAACTAATGCATCAGTTGTTTTTTAACAACAATTTAAAAACTTTTCCATACAAAGACGGTTGTCTTCGTATGGAAAAGGTTTTAAATTGTCAAAGTTCGTCGTACAAGAGCCACACGTTTAGTAGCGACAGTCCTGACTTTGTCAAAGACAGCTTTTAGCTTTTTAACTGTAAGTGATTTTGCGTTCATTACCGAATACAAAACACTTAAGAACCCCTGCTTTAAACCACCCTCCCTGCACCCCATGGGGGAAGCAAGGGGAGTTGTGTTTGGTACTTGCTCAATACCAGGACTCAAACCAGCAAACCTCCAGATATAATGTTGGGGGAAAAACAAAACAAAAACATTTGTTACTCTTATGGTAGTTTACAACAGAAAAAGAACAATCAACAGAATTATTTTCCCAGTTTTATTATTTTTTTTAACTTTTTCTTTTACATCCATAAATATGGACAAATGTATGTTGATGTGTATTTAAAACAAAACAAAACAAATCAACCTCTTCTTTGGTATCTAAAGGGAAAATAAAACGATTAAGGCAACTACAGCATCTATAGGTATGAAATGCATTTTAGTTCTGCAGCAATGACCACACGCTGGTGGCATGCAACATATATCTGCCCGCCAGAACAGCTGACGCCACAGCGCCGTGATAACTTCCAGTTTTTAAGTTTCTGTTTCTCCTCGCTTGGAAGCTTTTATTGCAGCTTTCCAGGTCAGCAGGAGGAACAGAAAGATCAGCAGGATGACTGGTGCAACGTGAACTGAACTGGGAGGCAGGTGATAAGAGGTGATCCAGAAAAACAAGGCTGAAGCAGAACCCAAAGCATTTCACCATCAATGCCATCAAGTTTAGACAGGAGTTGAAGGGTTTTTCTGTTCAGTACAGTTTTGCATTTGTTGAAGTTCCACAACATTTTTTTTAAAATTCTAGTCTTCAATGTATTTCAAGTCATCATTATCTCACTGTACAGAATGTGGTAACCAAGGAGGTTTTAAATCCAGGACCTTAGAGCAGTTTTAAGGCCTGGTCATTTCCTGCTGCTGGTTATCCAGTGTCTACAATCATTACATTTGCACTTACACTAACTGCTGTCTTGGAATTTTTGAAATCTGACTTTAGACAAAAGGCCTTTTTCTTTAACAGTAACAACATCAGTATTATTAGGGGATGCAAAGAAGCCAAATACAAATTACACACCAATACATTTTTTTAAACTAAATGGTTCTTTTGCATCTACATTACCTTAAGTATGTGTTGTGATTGTAGTTATAGCTGCAAGGGGCTAATACTGCATTTCAATGTACAGTGTGGTATGTGTAAAAACAAATGATTTTTTTTAAACAGAATTGTATGTACATAATTTAGAAGTAAAAAAAGTAGTAGAATGACTATTTAAACAAAAGAACAAGAAAAACAAAAAATCAGCCAATGCTCTCTACTGAATGACGAGATATGAAAAAGCAAGTCAAAAAAGTTAAAGGAAATGCAAACTTCCCACTGGAAGTTAATCAGATCAAATGGAAACAACAGCAAATTTCAGGTTGATAAAAGAGCCAAAAACCACAGACCCATTTCACTCGTCCAACTGCACAACTCTCTCGTCATTCCTCTTCTTCTCTGATGGCTTGAGGTAAGCAATGTGTTGTGGCCTTTTTCAACGTGACGTCTCTTTTCCTCCCCTCCTACTTCGAGGGTATGCGGCTGAACCCTTACAGGATGCCATAGATGAAGAGGGCCATGATGGCGGCACTGATCAGGCCAGATATGGGCACAGTCACAAACCAGGCCATGAAGATGTTCCTGAACAGCCGCCAGTCGACTGCCTTCCTGGAGCGCAGCCATCCAACTGCAACAACAGAGCCAACCTGGAAACAAAAGCAGGGTTGAGACCAGGGATTCACTGAACCATATTCACACTGTTCCAGTTTTGACTGAATGGCTAGATTAAGTATCGGATAATAGGGTCAGTCGTTAATACTGATCTATTGACTCAAATTCTATTTTTGTCTTCTAGTTCAGTTTATTTTCAAATGTTACTTAGGCTAAAAATTAAGTTAGTTAGGTGTTTTTTTTTTTACATTGGATTTTCTGTTTGCACACTTGGGCCGCCACTTAAAGGGCTGCAAAAATGTTGCCTTTTTTTTTTTTTTAAATGTAGCTCCAAGCTGCTGGTGCACAGTTATTTTTAATTTTAAAAATTATTTTCTTATTTATTTTAACATTAAATAAGTGGTTGATTTGTTTGACAAAATAGGAAAGCTGACTGATCAAGTATAGCTAAATGTATATCTGGTATAGATTATGCCATTAATCTGTATTGACCGATACTTTACACCCAGGTGGGTATGAGGGTAGGCCAATTGATTTGGTCCAAACTGTTCCACTATTTTTTAAGTAAATCTTGATCAATCAAAATCAACTACAAAAAAGAAGTCGCCATCTAGATATAGTTAGACTTACCATGATAATAGCTAGGGAATACAGCAAAGCCACATATTCCAAAATATTCACTCAGGGATCATGAAAAACAGAGTTACATATTAAAACACTTATATTCAACTTATACTTGGTCTCATTCTACACTCTATTAAATATATAGGTACATTTTAAAAACTCTTGCCCAGCCACAGTATTAGGCCTGGAAGTAGATCCGACACCTCCCATTCTTAAATCATTCTTTAAATCATGTGCTGAGGAGAAGGTTGTTCCACATTTGGACTGTCTAGACAGACTGAAGCCACCCCCACACACACTCATCTCTTCACCCTGTCCACCCACCAGACCCGTGTGTTTGACCAGCTTACCTTGCAGTGTGTGGTGGAAACAGGCAGGCCGATGTTTGAGGCTACCACCACAGTCAGAGCAGAGGCCAGTTCAATGCTGAAACCACTGCAATGAAAGAAGGAAAACATGTACGTCTGTGAGCAGGTCTGGAGAAATCACGTCTGAAGAGGATGTGGTCTTATGACTCAGAGTACAAACAGGTCTCTCTACCTTGAGGGGGTGATGGGAGTGAGGTCTTTACCCATGGTCTGAATCACTCTGCGACCCCACACCCAAAGACCGGCACAGATACCAACGCCACCATACAGCAGGAGCCAAATGGGTGTAGCCATATTTGAGTTCACACTGCTGGTTTCATAAATTAACCAGAGAGCAACTAATGGTCCGATTGCATTACTGGGGAAAAAAAAAGAAGAAAAAAATTCATTAGATGACATTCCAGTTTAATATTTTGCTTCCGAGTTGAGCTAAACCAACAAACACATACCTAACGTCGTTGCCTCCATGTGCAAATGATCCAAAGCAGGCAGTGAGAATTTGCAGGAACTGGAAAAGAGTCGAGACTTCTGGTCTGTCAGAGTCCAGTCTGTCATCATCCAGAGAACTTTGGGTGCTCCCTGTGTCCTCCCTCCCTATTTCCACCGTCGCCTCGCCCTCTCCCAGGCCCTCAGGTGTCGTGTGCTCTGCCACAGCATTGCAATAGCTTGTGTAACTGTCCATACGAATGCGCTTCCTTTCCGGACCACCAGGGCCCTTCTCACCATCCTCGCTGGCACGGAAATCACCATCTTTATGCTTGAAGTCTGCGTGCATGCCAATAATGGCCATGGTGTAGGAGGTGTAGCTGTTGTTGCGTCTGATTGGTCGGTCGTTTCCCTCCCCCATGCAGTCCCCAACTTTAGCCAGATGGAGCTTATGCAGGAGGTCTTTGTAGAGGCCGGAGTCCTTGTGGACTGTGTGGTACTGGCTGTAGCCACTGTTAGGTATCTGTGACGGCCGGTTGTTAAACTGAACTTGATTGTTGAACTGGACATTATGAGAGGCGTTTGCCTGTCCATTGCTGTAGGGAGTTTGCTGGTTCTGTACGTGGTTGTTGGCCTGAACTTGTTTAGAAGCTGGAGAAGGAAATTCAATTTTTAATGTTAGAAAAGTCATATACCTATCACCAGTTAGTGAAAACAGACACTGAAACTTCTTTAAATTCTCACCATTGACAGAGTTGCTGCAATCAGTGTCATCAGAATCTCCGATGTCAAATGCCACCTTGCGTTCTTTATTGTCGACGTCGTCAGAATCTCCAATGTCAAACGTGACCCTGCGCTCCTCAGAGGGCGCTTGGGGCTGAGCAGCTGGGCTCTGATCGGCAGGTACGGCGATAACAGTGGACGTTTCCTTGGCGGCCTGTTTCAGGATTGGACAGTGGGCCTCTCTCAACTCCCTCTTCTCCATTAGGGGGCTCTCAGAGGGGCTGGAGGATTTGATGTCTCCTGGTAGGGAGAGGTTAGAGGGAGACGTTGACCCAGGTCATGTCAAAACAGATACTCATGACAGTGGAGAGATACCAACAACGATTATGAATATCATATCAACATGAGGCTGTGGGAGGTTCAGGAATTGTGCGACCCAGTATTCCTAGTGTTTGGGAAAAACCCAAGGCCTTTGTTCTTAGGGTTAGATAAATAGATTGTGGTATTAAAAAGAACATTTTCCACAACTGAGAGAAGCTACACTCGTGACACACAACATTAGCTTCTCTAAATACTTGATGACTCAAATAACATTTGTATAGTTTTAAAGTCAATTTGATACAAAGAGACAACATTTTCCCGGTATTCATCCACATACTAGGAAACGGATTAGTGTATCATCTAATCCGACCCAGAATTATAACTGAGAATGTCACGTCAACACCTCAAGTCAACTTGGGCTTATTTCAGTCAAAGGCCAATGAGAGAACCTACTTGGTTCTTATGTAGGAGTCATGTGATGCTGATCAGTTTACTACAAGGATAACTTTCTCAGTTGGTGTGAAAAGAAAAGCATGACACATAAGTCACGATCAATATTAGCTGGAGAACATTTTGAGTGTGAAGTCACATGTCTGACAGCAAAAACAAACCATGTCATTCTACGTAGAGAAACAGTTACAGTCAATGTGCCCTGGAGCTCCAGGGAAACAAAGACAGACAGGCCAAGGTTTTCTTTTTAAGTCATTTGTTTTTAAGACGAAAAACTATCAGAATCAAAACAAAAAAAGACTCAGTCATCTTTATCCAGGATTACTTCAGAAACATTTTTTTCAAATTACATTATTTCTATCAAGTCTTGGTTTGGTTTTCATCAACAGTAATAAACTCCCCACATTCCCAGTCAATAAAATCAAATAATTTACAGAAATGGGTTTTCAAATAAAACTGAATGTAACTTACGTTCAATCTTCTTCTTGAGGCGAGGGCAGACAATAAACCAAACTACAATGGCGGTCAGCAGGGAGAAGGCCAATGAGATGAGCAGGATGCCCCACCACGGGATCTTGTCAAATCCCAGCACTGAAGGGCCACCAGGTGCCACAGACAGAATCAGACACAGAAGGCAGATTTAAAAACACAAGGCAGCATGTGCTACCTTCATTAGGACAACACACAAGTCTCCAGTGTCAATTTGTCTTTTTAACATTTTAACCAGGCTTAAAATAAAGGGTTAATAACAGGTCTTTTCATATAGATTTCAATGAGGATAATTACATTTGAAGGGAACTGGTGTAATAAAAACATGAAAGCCTTCACTGAATTACAGAGAAAAAAAAAACTTCAGTTATGACTACGTGTCGTCTTCTGGCTGCAAACGACTCAACACTGGCTCTTAGTGTCACGTCCCTGTTAAATCTAGAATGCATGAGAACCCTGTAGAGCTGAACATTTATGTAACACATAAGGCAGACAATATGGACTGTAAGTCATATCTCGATATTCTTTAAATTTTTTAGATGGCAATACTCGATATATATTGATATTTCTTTCTGTTATGGAATAGGGGTTTCCTCTAAAGCATTACAGTGTATTAGATTCATTATTTTTCAGAGGCAAATCCTTAAAAAAAAAAAAGCAAACTCTTATAAGTTATAAGCCTCATGCCAAATATTACACAGGCACACTTAATGGCAGGTCACTCTGCACAATATTAAATGTATAAATCATATTAAACAAAACAATATGTACAGTAATATATTAAATAAAAGGGATACTTAAATAAAACAAACCTCTCTCAAAGATCTCTTTCTTGTACAGAGAAGCTCTAAATGCTGTTTTATGGCCTTGAGGTTCAGATTCTCAAATTCTCACAAACACGTTATACAATGTTCCACACTGTTTACATATATTTAAATATATTAGACTGTGGAACATCAGCACCCCTTGCACACATCTAACCAAACAAGTACAATGCTGATATAAAGCCAGAGTGTTATATCATGTTTAGAAATATATCAATATATAATAAAATATTGAGATATCACCCAGCCCTAGTAACACCAAATAGGTGAAAGAGTAAGAATGTAATCCTAACCCAGGTTTGTCTTTCTTAAGAAAGGAGGAGGGAGTCATGCACCAAAGCTGTAGCATTAAAAGCAGCCACTTGCCAAGACTGCAGCATAGCTGGTACAGCAGAGGACGGTATAACGCAGAGCATGCCGTCACAAAACAATTATTTCAATTTCCCAGGGGACACAGTCATCTTTGTCACACTGCAAGGCTGCAAGTCAGCAGCACAAGTTGAGGAGAAAACAAAAACAGGAGCTGCTGGACAACTACAAACACCACCTCTGGTTAGGTGACCTGGGTCATACATTATTGAAAGGGAAAAAACTACACTGGTCTAGCACTGTTTGGCAAGATAAACAAAAGGAAATGAGCGCCCAAGGCTGTTGTGATAAGTGTCTGGTCCACCAAGATCAATTTAAGGGCAAAGTCCGCAAAGCTTTCTGTCCTAGGTCACGCTGCAACGCCAGACTGCAGAGCACCTCACCTCACAGTGTTTGTTTAGTTACATAACAGCCCACTACAGGATGGTAGGGGATGAAGACATGGGGGAGACTAAGACCGTGTCTTTCACAGTACATACACACACACACACACACACACAACGTAGCGAGACAGCTGCAAACAGGTGTGGTTAAATAAAACACTAGACAGTACTGGAGCCACAAGGGAACTTTGAATCATAGAGACACTGAATCCCTACAAATGACAAGTAGGTCAGACACCATTCACCATGCAGCTCATTGTCACTGGCACTTCTGTGTATAGGACTTTGTTCACAAAATATAACAAAACAAAAGTCTAGCTGTCCATGATAAACACTCCCACACAAAGGGCAGTGACTTACACCACAGCCGTGCGTGCAGTGGGATGAATGGGTCTGCGCAGGAAATAGAGTTTAACCACAGCTACGTTCCACACCCTCCCTGGAAGCTCTGGATCCCGTGGCCTACATTACACAATAACATGTTTGTTTTTTCCCCATGTTCTAATAGGTGCTACCTCAGAGTAGTGAGAGTTTATGACTCACATGCTACGAAACAACAAAGTTCAAGTTGTTCAATCCAATATTTCCAAAGCTAAATCCAACTTCAAATTGTTTTTAGGACCATGGATTAGGTGAAGTTGAATATTTATTTTGTGACGTCTCAGTTGACTGATGATGCCAGGTCAACCAAGGCCTCCAAGTAATTGTTCTTTTGTAGCGAGAACCAGGTAAAAAAAAAAAAGAAAAAAACTTCCCTCACCCTAATATATCAGTGGTATGAATGGACCATAACGTGCTTAACAAAAGGAGTGCACACGACAGACTTGACACGTCTCTGTGAAAGCAGATGTTTGAACAGAACACAGCATCTTTGAGATGCCTCCTAGACGAAGCAGACGGCGACTATGCACCAATAAAGGAAGCCGTAGATCTTCACGTCCAGGTGACAGGCATTAAGAGCGTATCTCTAAATCTGGCTAGATATTGATGTCACAATGACTGAAGCTGTGGCAGAGTGGCAGCAACTAAATGTTTTATGAGGTGTGAAGAAGCTCAGGTCAAGGTCATCTGTTGACACTTCATAAACGATTGTAAGCTGACCCTTCAAATTCTTTTTCCTGACATGCCGACTTCAGGTATCTGGCACTGGTGTGTATATATTGAGAATTGGAATGTGCTGTTAGATGCCTGGTGTCCAATCGCACCACTATGACACCATGTGAATTAGGGGAACAGGGAGTCCTGTCACAGGAAGCCAAACATACTGTACTCAGTGGGCAGCAGATACTGCAAACTCCACAGGAGTGCCGAGTCAGCAATAGGCAGTTACAATAACCCATAGTCCTGCAAAAAGGCCATGACATAAGCAAAACCGGCATTACCATTGGGACAAATCAGCTGTGTTGTTTTTGTATCCTCAAAACTTGAACTTAAATTAGCTTCACTGCATTTGCCTGTGGTGTGAGATGTTGGGGATATTAATCAAACTAAAGAATGTGTTTTTTGATTATGGTAAATGTTGGAAACGCAAGTGATCTCCTCTTTGTCAGTACCATATCTGGTCAAACGCTGGCCTGTAGCAGCCATTTAATGGCCCAGGCCAGCTAAGATCTTGAACTGTCCTGCAGAGAGAAAAAACAAACACAGGAGCAAAAAGTTCCTTGTTTAATAAAGGGTTTCTGTAGGTTAACAAGTATTCAGAGCAATGCTATGCTAGTTTTGAGCAGCAGTAAAAACTAAGAACATTTCAAATACCCTCTTATTGCTTTTCCTCCTCCATGTCTGAAGGGCACAGTCAGTGAAGTCAAGAGTTAAGTGAAAACCTTTTTCCATCTTTTTTCCTGTTGTGCCGTTGAGCTCTAAAACTTAATTGCAGCTACGACCCATATACACAACCACAAGCAAAAAAGCCCCCACCAAAAAAACATGTTAAAATAAACACAGCTCCTGTGAAAACGGTAAACACAGCCCGGTTCAGTCTGGAATAAGTGTGGGCATTCGGCCGTCTGAGGGAGCAGCTTTTTTTAGACCGTGGCCACAGGCGAGCATGCAGAGCAAAATGACTCAGACAATGATACTCACTCGGAGCTCCAGTGTACATGATAGAGAAGAAATTGATTCCCATGGTGATGGCGTAGAACACAGGCAGGGCCTTCAGACCATTAGGTACTGGGTCTTTCTGCAGTAAGGAAAAATAAGTACAAATTTAGATAGAATTTCTTCTCAATGGAAATTACAGTTTTAGTAGGGGTCAAACTTAATGGAGAAAAAAAGTCTGAAGGTTTTAAACATACCGGCAATCAGTGGAAAAAAAAAAAGTACATATAATGTAGATAACATTATAAAAAGTATCTCACAATTGAGGGAACCAAAACAGTTTCCTCAATTTTCAGCAGTGTGAAAACAACAGTGTTGAAAAACCTTGACACATTATCCAGAAAGATTCTTATTATAAACACACAAAAAACCAATTGCGTAAACTATTTCAAGGCTGATGGATTACCTTGTGCAAGATGAAAATTCGCACAAAGTAGAAAACAACAGCCGACATGAATCCAGACAGGAGGGGACTCAGGAACCAGGAAGCAACTGCAAATTAAAGAAACAGAAGTAATTGAGCAGTTTAGTGATTGAGGAGTTGTACCATAGTCTTATTTATAAAACATCATAAAAACAAAATAATAAAACACTTTATAACATTTTATAACACAATAACTGATTCACTTTCTGCTGGATATATTTAGTCAACAGAAGATTAGTTTCCGCTACTTGGTGTCTTCCTTGTACGTGTTTTTCTTGGAAATCTAACACTAACTTGGTTATATGAAATTCAAAACATGTTATTTCCCCACGTCAAAGGTATGTGGATATTTGTGTTGACACTTTGAAATACTTTATTTTTTTTGCATTCTGGTAACATAGTTAAGAGGGTTAACATGTCATGTCTTGGACAACAGGTGATCCGTCATCCGTACCAATTCGAAGAAGTTCAAGCCATCTGACTCCCTGCTGGCCTTTGGCGACCAGAGAGAAGCCAATAGTAGCACCAACAATGCAGTGTGTTCCAGAGATGGGGAGTTTGAGGAAGGAGGCAGCCAGCTGCCACACAGCAGAACCTGGTGGGAACACAAGAAGTGATTATATTAGACTCCACAGGTCAACATGGCCACAACTTTGTCCCCACAGCCTAACAGACACATTACATCCATCTATTTATCTATGAAAACACTGCTCCATCCCTTCATCAGACCGAGTGTCTTCAGCCTACAAAACTTTGAAGACAATTGCTCTAGGTCAGACATGGGCAAACTACAGCCCAGGGGTCGGATGCGGCCTATTTGGCTTTTTAATCCGGCCTACCAAAGTTATCTAAATGATGTTACTAATTTCTATTATCATTATACTTCTGCCTTTTCCCTGCAATGCCCAAATTTCTTCATAGATGGGGTAGAAAAGTATTAAGGCATTTAGCCTTTATGAGTTTTACATGTCATTTGTTGTAGTTCATACGAATACTCCATTGATCTCCTCTGACCCCATCCCCCATCAAATTTTAGGACCCACCGTGGCTCGCAAGTCAAAAAGTTTGCCGACACCTGCTCTAGATGTTTAATTTAATAAGGACAAATAATAACTTTCCAAAGGAAAACATTCTGTCAGTTTTACAACAACATTTTATGCCTAAAACCACTGTTTAAAATGGTACTTACCGAACATTGCACTGACTGATCCAGCCATTAACTTGTGCTCGGAGCCATTGTACATGTTCACATCGATGATACCCTTACGGATGGTTTCGCTCACTTTGGCTCCAAGAAGAACAGAACCCAGAGTCTCAAAGACCGTAGCCAGAATGCAAGCCTGACGCAGGGTGACCACTCCAGAGCCCACAGCTGTTCCAAATGAGTTGGCAACATCATTGGCACCAACAGAGAAGGCCAAAATGAAGGCAATGATGAAGCCAACAATTAGCAGCCATAGGTACTCTGTCAGTGGAGTATAGCTGGCGGCGGCTACTGTGCTGGCTACCAATATTGTAGCTGCAGTTGTGGAAACCATGACTGAAATCTAAAGAATTGGTTCAAAATCTTAAAGGGAATGAATCTCAAAAATATTAATACGGTGCTATTTCTAGTCAGCAGCTGGTAAAATTAAGAGGTACTAGGTAAAATAAATAATAAGCTTCTCTTCAGGATGCCCTGTCTAAAACAGGATTTCTGAGATTCAGCAGTGCAAAGTCGTAAAACTGTTTATCTGGAGTTGACCAGAAAACAATTAAAGTAAGCTTTTATGAAGAAGGCCTATTGCTATCCTGTAATTAAACTAAATCTGTTGCTGTTGCTTAAGTGTTGGGTTATCAAGCTGAGTAAAGAGACGGCCATTGTGCAAATGTCACTGCAGGTGAGCAGGGGTACATTCTGAAAGAAAAACAGAAAGAAAAAAACAGAAGTTTTTAACAAATCTTTTCTCAGACTGTGTCTGTGCCAACAATAAATGTCTGCTTTATAAACAACAAACAAATAAATAAAAACACCTTTGTTGAACTTTTAGCCAAAACCTTGACAAATTATATAAAAGACCATTTTCTATCAAAATGAGACATCCTTTATAAACAAGATTAACTGTTACAGGTGATGACTACATGTACTCTTAGATCATCATTCCAGAAACAAGTGGAAAAAAACTATAATAAGCTTTAGATTCCCTGCAGTAAAATGAGATGAAAAATAGTACAGAACATGTGAATATGACACCAGATTATGTGACAGAATCAATAAATGTTTTTTTAACCCAAGGATAAGTGTTGAATTTACAGTCACAGAAGATCAAAGACACTCCATGACTAAGATGATATGTGTACATGTATATAGTATGTATTTTTTTATCGTTCTTACAATCAGTTATGTTGCATAAAACAATATCAACACACCGTTTTTTCACAGAATCAAGTAATTCAGGCATCAATTAATTAATTAAGTGATTGAAACACTGTGGTCATAAAACAACATTTTTTGCACTTAAAATTATGGTCTAGGTAACTGGTCAACCTGCCGGAGAAGTAATTGATTCATCTATACAACATGCTACTAAGCTGTTAACACACGTATTTAAAGAAATACTACTAGTAATTTGACTACTCTTCTAACTAATCCTGTAAACACGTCTTATTTAAGACTTGATTGACGTTGGAATGCGAAGAATATTGACAAACAAAAAGTATTTGCAGGATGTGGGGAAACAAACAAGACAAGAAATGTGATACTAAAAAATGCCAGTGGCACAGGGCTGGACCTTGAGGAGGATCAATAGCAGCTGTCTCTGCAAACGCGATTGGAAGCCATTTTTAGACTGTGTCGCACGAAAGAACAGAGCAGCCCGTATGTAATGACGCCAAACTTCATTTCTTTCCACACAGACACGGCCGATTTGTCTACTTTATTACAGCTTTCTACAGCACGATCACCCAATAAACCGATGTAATAGTAAGGCGTGCCTTTCGTTCTTCTTCCCGGCAGAGGAGGAACCGCTATTAGAAAGACTTGGTATTTCTTACGTGTGCACGTGTCGTCATCCATTCATGGGAGAACACGGCGTAGAACACGAGTGCCATATGTTCCTCCAGAAGCCTCTAGATCACTTGGGACTCAGACGACTTGTCAATTACAATCACACCGAAGAGCAAATCTATCGTTGAAGCTTTTTCGTGCTTATTATGAAAAGTTTTAACAATTTCTGACGCGAATGGAGGATTGACGCTACCACAGAACAGTCGTGACTACCGCCGACCGACCGGCTGTTTGGTCACTGTCCAGACCCGACCTGCCAAGTGTTGACATACGGTCAATACCAACATGAACTGTTATATATCAATAAAAGAGATTAGCTTCCACCATGAATCATTAACCTTGGCTGTAGAAGATAAATGTTACCCAGACCTAGAGATAAGAAACTGTCACTGGTAACGACCTTTATCTAACATCACCCAAACAACACAACGACCTTTATCTAACATCACCCAAACACATTTAATCTTCGTGTCTATTTTAAAAAACACAACATGACTTCGTTCCGAATAGCCCCCTTTTCTAGTTAGAACATAGCACTGGGATTAGCAATTAGCTTTTTTTTTAATGACGACGTCGTTTAACAGAGGATGAAACCGTCAGTGAGTGTTAGCAGTTCAGGTTATGAATGGCAAAATAAGACAATATACCACAGAAAAACTCACCACACGTTGCAGTTTGGTCTTCGGTGTAGAATAGCGCTAATATCCGCTTAAGCTAAAGATGAGCGCGCCTACGTAGCGATAGCGCGCGCGGGACAATGGAAATTTCACTGATAGTGAAATATACAAGCTACTATCGAAAAAAGCAAAAAAACGACTCTAAACAAAAAATTAAAAAATAACTACGAGCAGCGTTAGGACTCGATATTATCAAATGAGTACGTTTATAATCTCTACCGTCCCACTTTGAATGAAGCCTTACTACCGCATGTAGAACCTGCTAGTGCCGGTCTTTATTTGATGAGAAGAACAACCCACAAAGCCACGCCCACTACAAACTGTCACCCCCTCCTCCCATCCTGTCTCTGTTTCCTTTTTTTCCTCTCCCTCTTTTAATCATGCGCTGGGTGCATGGTATCCTCATGCTACGCCTCGAGAAGCCCAGTGGTTTCTGAGTGGTATTGCAGGCCCATTTGATTTAGTTTTGGGGGAGGAGGGCAAACTCTTTGTACACCATGTACCACCGGTTATGTAAGTATGTTCAGATACAGTTATGAATTCTAGTTTTTAGTTGAAAATTAAAAAAAAAAATCTTTATCATATTTTACATGTAAATAGGATTTAAGACAAGCTTGTTTAATACTTGTTGCCTGTTTAAGGAGATCAATTCATCTTCCTCAACCACTTTATCCTGCATTTTCTTGAACTGTTGGAGGAAACTAGGTTACACAAAGAAAAGATCGCGGCAGAGGAGAACATACAGAAAAAAATGGGAATAAAAACAATGAGGAGAATGTTCTATATCAGTATTAATGAATTTCAATAAAACCAGTCATTTTAATGTATCTGCAAGATTCCACCATCTGTCTTCTTTTGTTCATCCTATCATTTGCTCTGACTTTTTCTGTACGGGTATTTTTGCCAGTGAATCGGCCATATTAAATATTAATATATAAGTAGTAATGACAACTAAGCAGGACGTTTTGACTTGTGTGCTCTATTCCATCTGTGAATTATTCAGAATATGTTTTGTTTTTTTATTTTGCAATGCAGATTTTCTTTCTGCACAAACATTGTGCTCCATTTTGATGTTCTTTAATTGGCCTCTAGTTCGCTCAATTGTAAAGGAAATTTCAAACTCATCTTCCCGGATAAAACAAAGGTAAATTAAAATGTGTTGGAATGTTTTAATTTGGAGAGGTTTCACTGGATAAACAACAACAACAAAAAAATTATCTAAACACTCCTTGGAAACAATATATGTTATGTCTCTAAACTTCAAGTCATACAGTATTAATGTAGTTTGCCGTAGTAAGCCTAAGTCAGCATTTCAACTCTGATACCATTCAATGACAAATAGAAAAGATAGGAAATAGTGCATGTGTGATTCCACTTGACAATCCATTCTTCTAGTTACATGCCTTGTCTTCTTGTTGGTTCTGTTAGCTCATCTCCTATCAAGACCCATTAGCTAATGCGATAACCTCAAAGTAAAAGGTTAATTAGCTGTTAAATTTTTGTAGAATAGCTGGCCCACATCTATTACTAAGCAGTACTAAGCTCCATGTTGGACCAGACAATCCTGTATGACCTACGTCTGAATTTAAGCTTGTCCTACTCGAAAAACCTGAAACACCTTTTTAGGACAATACTTGTTATAGCAATACATAAAAAAACACAAAAATCAACAATGACCTTTTTATGGAGAATTTTTTTTTAAATGATCATTACCTAAACTAATAGTGAATATATTTCCCCCTTCTGAGAGAAATAGATAATTTAGAATTTTGCTTTAGATTTTAAAACACAAGTTTTATTTACATTCTACTCATTTAGTTAAATTTTCACTTTTCCACCAGCATACAAAGATCTATTCTGGGTATCTAGTGTTTTTGTCATCACTCACTGCGTATACTGTTAAACTGTGTGGTTTTAAACAAAGCCAATGAGCCAGTAGACACAAAACACTCAAACCCAAACAGTCACCCACAGGAACTGCAGAGGAGAGTCAAAACAGAGCCACTCTGGTGGGGGTGATGTTGACTGTGCTGGAAAATTGTCATCATTCATGTGCATTGGGGCAGAAATTATAGCAACATTCACTCTTCAACAAAAAAAGTTGTTTTCTTTGGCTCATCGTTGGTCACAAGGAGAGTCGCGCTTGATAATAGGGAGGCTTCATAAGCATCACAAAAACTTTATCCCTCTACTTATGTGATGTCACCTGTGTTTAGTATCATGGAAAATTTCTTCCTCTGCTCTCTTGTTGAGAAATATCCATGGCGCTGACTGGGACACAAGTAATTGCAGCTTTTGTCCAAACACCTTGGAGCAACATTCCACAAAGGGAGGAGTGGCAATATAACTCCTGCGCCTGTTGTTTCAAACCGACTCAGTCAGTGAGATTAACAATACCGATTTACAGAAAAAGACTCACTCCAGCAAAACATTTGTCACTGCCTCGGGCTCATTTGTCATGGTGTGTGTTATTCACGTCACTTTCATTTGAGTTTACAGAAAAGGTTAATTTAATCCCAGATTAAAGTGAGACGTCAATTGTTATCCAAAGACTAATAATTGTTTTCTGTAACCAATGTTGACATCAGCTACAATAAGCCTGAAAGAGCTTAAAACAAAGATCATCCAAAACTTTTATAAAACAAAGCATGGGTTGTTCACATATTAGTCAAAGTGTACAGTGGCTAGTAATTTTCACTTGTGGTAATGTAGGCTGAATTCTTCGTGCAAACATTGCGCAGCTGTAAAACTGTCATCAAATGCAGAGAGGTTATTTGCAGAACGGCTTAGTAAGCTTTGTATGAAATTATGTTAAGCATGTTTCTCTGAAAACAACTTGTCTCATGGTCTTGTGATGCTTCAATGTTTTCCCAGGCAACACACATATGACTTTTCTTTGCACAAAAAAAAAAAAAGAAAGAACATCATGTATTCAGTGGTTGATACTATTTATCTATTGCTATTTTGACTAATTGTCTCATGATGATGATTTTGTGGCCTTATTAAGTTGGTCTTAGCTTTGTGAAGGGTTCAGTAGTTGGTCTATTTTCCTAATAACTACCAGAAGTGGATTCTCAAAATGTGTTCAAGTGTTTTTATATCACTAAACTCCTGCCAGTGTATTACATTTGGGAAAGTCTTTTTAGACCATAATATGATGTCTGCTTTCTTTCGATTGATTTTGGTATTAACGTTGAATGTCATAATTTCCCAAAGGGAACTCCCAAGGGATTAATAAAGTTCTATCTGTCTATCTGTCTATCTATCTATCTATCTATCAACCTACCAACCTACCTACCTATCCATCTATCTATCTATCCATCCATCCATCCATACTATACTATTATAGTATACTATTGTGATGGCCTAAAAAGTCCAACTAATGTCAAACAACAGTTAAGCCTACATAGCATCTTATAATTTTCATCTTATAATAAGAGTTCATAGGTCTAATTTTTACTCCACACTAACTAACGCACTAACACTAACTTAATCAACTGCTAATGATGGGAGATTCAGAATTACAACTTAATCATGTACTTAATCATGTTGTATATACTGCAAACTGCACAGGTGAGTAATGACTAAATAAAATATGATAACACCATTACCTTCTTCAACTCAAGTTTAGCACAAATGAGACACTTTGTGATGCTTTTACTTGAACTAATTTAAAAAAGACAAGCCTAAATTGTAAGACGTTGATAGGAAAAAAAATTCAGGAGTAAGGTTGTACCCTGAATGTTCCAATGGCGCCACCTGGTGTATATAAAATATAACATCAGAATCAGCTCTATTAACCAAGTATGAGCACATACAAGGAATTTGACTCTGGGTTTTCATACCTTTAGTGCACACGTTATAAACTCAGGCCCGGACAAATCTGGCCTACTAGATCATATCAAATGTGTACTTAAAGTTGGCCCACCAGTATATAGCCCCTATATACTGGCAGGATTTATAGTATTAGTGGTGTATGCGCTATGTTATAGCACATACATTTTGTTTCTTTTTGTTGTTGGCCTGTGAAAAAAACGATAGTGGACAGTTTGGCCACCTTTCTTTAGGGTATCAGCCTGCCTTGAAAATCCAACAGACAAATCTGGAGCACTAGTGTATGGCAGTCATTATAATTTTAGGCAGAATTCTTATTTGTAGTTCTAGTTTTAGTAATTCTGCTCAACATTTTGTTAATAAATATGTAAATGGAGAAGATGCAGCCCAAATGCTTACATACGTTTCATTTTTTCCATACAGCACAAAATAGTGTGACCAGATAAAAAAAAACAATATTTCTAAAAATGGATGCTGACATAAGAATGTTTAACCTATTCTGTAACTTTTATTTAGGGTAAAGGTGGATTTGGAAACCACATGCCCCACATGGTCTCTCTAGCAGCCCACATATGCTGACATGTGCTCATGATTTTTTTTTTTTTTTTTTTTAAGCAGAAATACTCATGGCATAACGACTTGTCTTGTGAAGAACTCTGGACACGTTTGACGTTTATAAAAAAAGACGGTTTAAGAAACTGCACTTTTTAGTACATTCATTTCCCTCTACTTTTAACCTAGATACGCTTACAGTTTGTGACATATACATTGTATAGAAAATAATTTTACATAAATAGAAAATAGTCTCGGAAAGCTTCTATAGCGTCACATTGACTGGCGTCGTGCACTGTTCACAGCCAAACTTGCTTTGCTCAAACTCGGTAAGACTGACAGCGATAAAGGCCAATCAAATAGCCTCAGAAAAAAATCTGACAAATGAACACCTCAACCGGAAGCTCTTAGGCAGGGCTTCCGAGTGGGCGTGAGGGACACCACAGGAAGAGGTCAAATGCACTGCGAAGTGTGAGAAACGTGTTTCCAGCGGGCGAATACAGGTAGACAGTTGTATTTAAACCAAAATAGGCTATGTTAACTATGGTACTGATGTGTACTTTAGTTATAAGACTTAAGTGAAGCGTCATTCGCGTGTAGTGTTTGTCATAGTAGTCGCTACAAGGATAACGTTAGCATTAGCCTGCGATCCATAACGTGTTCTCTTACTGTTCAATAAGTCGTATAACCACAGTAAAAGGTTTATGACAAATGCTCGTATTCCCTACCTTTTAGGTGCAATGCGTAACACCGCAGACTTCTAGTATTTTGTTGTTGGTCACACCAGGTAGCAGCTGCCCCTGTTGCAGCCTCTCGTGTCTTGTCTTTGAGAACTGTCACGGTCACCGCAAGCCATGTTTCACTCCGTGCCCCGGCGTCCCCTCTGTGATATCGGTGTGAGTACCGCGAGGCTTCAGAGCTGCAGATCCCTCAGACAAACTGTCGGGGATGGTAAAAGAAAGTTGGAGAGGCTACCGTGGCTGGACAAGACCGTGGGCCTGCTGCTTTCCTGGATCCAGAGGGCAGGTGCCCACAAGGCCGCAGGGTCTGGCCAAAAGAAGAGGAAGGATTTGCTGTCAATATTTGCAGATCACTGCAGCTTTGTGACTGGACAACGGGTACGACGTGCCTGTCAGATCGGGGAGCTCTACTCCAACCTGTACTCTGAACGCACCAGGTGGAGTCTGGTGGGAAACATATGGCGCAGATTTCAGAACAAGCATGCCCCCAACGGAAAACTCTTCGCGGCTTTGGCTGGTTTCTTCATTTGGGAGAATGAGAAGATCCGAGATGAAGAGATCCACAGGTGGGAAGTTAATTAACTGCTTGGTATTTGATGAAAGTAAACAGAATTGTGTAAAGTGAACCACTAATTTGCTAAATATAACTTAGACCAATTTACAAATTACAGTTGCTGATATTTTTCAAAATTACAAATATTTTACAAAAACGACACTTCTATAACAACAGAACTATTGGACCGCATAAAACAGAGCTTCATAAAAATATTAGTCAGTATTCTCATTAACATACTCCATTTGTCCTTCAGGACACTTATTTCCCCATCTCTGGGTTAATTCAAATTGATTTGACTGTCATCTTGAACGTTAGCTTTTATGTGTGCTAAATCAATCTATTCTAATATTTGCATTCCTTTTCCAAGGTGTGGACTAGAGCTACAAGAATTGGAGGCTGCAAATCACCGGAGTGCAGCCTCAAGCTCTGTGACTGGGCTGCAACAACAGGAGTGGGAAATTGTGATAGAGCAGAAAGACTTCAAAGTGTGGAAGCGGCCAATGCCAAACAGTCATCTCTATGAATATCGAGGTAAACTAATTCACAATCTAAACTGCTTGGAAAGTGTAAAAAAACATCTTTTAATGTGCTTCGGACCTTTACTAGTTGTACAAAGTTTGATTTATGTTTCAATTGCAGTGTTGGGCTCCTACACTGACGTTACACCGAGACAATTCTTCAATGTTCAGGTAAAGAAGGTTACAGGTCATACATATATATAATGTACAGTACACACACACACGTGTATACACATACTGTATATACATTTATGTGTATATTATAAATAAATACACATATATACACATATATATATACACAAACATGATGGGAATATAGCCTAATGACAAAGATTTACCCTTGCTGTATATATGAAATTTTGATTAACACTAACTACAGCAGCAGGTTATTTTACAGCTGCTCTTGCACAACTTTCAAATTTATGCTTCCCACGTGCAGCACAAAAGCAACTGCCACAACCTACTTGCTATAATAAGCACTTTACCCTTGACTTTTGCTCTACCCTTTACTCCAGTTGGATACAGAGTACAGGAAGAAGTGGGATGCTTTGGTGATCAAGCTGGATGTGGTGGACAGAGACACTAATACTGGCTCTGAGGTGGTGCACTGGGCCACACACTTTCCTGTGAGTTTGTGTTGATATCTGTAATGCTCTACGACATTGTGTCAAATGTTTTCTTTTGATAAAGCTATTCTCAGGAGCAAAAAATGTTTCATATTCATCAAGCTTTAAACTGTAACTTAACCTTGCTCATATCTCCCGCCACAGTACCCCTTGTACTCGAGGGACTACGTGTACGTGCGCCGCTACGATGTTGACGTGGAAAACAACCTTATGACCTTGGTGTCAAGGTGAGATTTAAAAATATATATATATATAACACAGTATTAAATCACGCATGCTTCTTATTTTAACCTGTATTTTTTAAATTTGTTTTAAAGAGCTGTGCAGCATCCCAGAGTCCCTGAGAGTCAGGAGTTTGTACGAGTCCATTCATACCAGTCGAAGATGGTCATACGTCCTCACACGTCCTTTGACGAGGTCTGTGGTTTGTTTGCTGTTGCAAGATATATACAAATTTTTATTTTTTTTATTTTTTTTATCTGACCTTACTGTGCTTTTATTGCAGAATGGATTTGATTATCTGCTGATCTACAGCGATGACCCTCAAACTGTTTTTCCTCGCTACTGTGTGAGCTGGATGGTGTCTAGTGGTAAGTCATTTTTACAGGTCACTATGACAACGCAATAGCAGTTTTTCTATATTTGACTAAGGCTGTCATTTGATAAAATCATGTGTTTTTGTCCATGATTAACGCAGAGTTCCTTGTGAAGGCAACTGTTTCTTTAACGTTTAAGTATATTGCATCGTGGTCCAGTGAAGTAATGAGTTTTATTTCTTGACAGGTATGCCTGAGTTCTTGCAGAAGCTTCACACTGCTGCCTTGAGGGCCAAAAACCTCGAAGTTGGGATCCACGACTACGTAGGTGTCATTAAACCCCGCGACAGCAACCGCCAGCCCAGCCAGGACCGCATCAGTGGAGACAAGACACATACAGGGGCTCCTGGACGGCTCTACGCTTGATGTGGATATTGGTTTAGCTTAGGTTTTGTTGAGTTTTTTATTTTTATTTTTTTCTACGTAAACTGGAACTCTCCAGGAACAACTCCATAGGTACATTGTGTGAACTACTACTAGAAGTTCCAGCTAACGAAGACACATGCCGTAAACGTCCGTCTATTAATATGGTTGTGGGTGAGTTCTTACGTGAAGAAGTGCTCTGTGTTGGTGCCTGCATTACTGTCCTTGACTGACAGCTCTGATCCAGATTTTCTGATGCCAACTAATGCCTCATTAATTATTCATGCCCTGCAAGCATCACAACCAATGAGCCAACACCTCTCTTAGTAGAGATGCTAACCACCCAACCAGCTTTTCTCATAGTCCTATCATGGCTTCCTCCTTCCTCTGCCCTCAACAGGGCAGGGCATGTCAGCCATGGAAGCCAAATCAATTTATTAGTAATTTATTAGTGTCCGTTATGTCCCTGCTACATGGTTGTTCAATTTGTCGTGCTGTCCTGGACATTAATTGAAAATTCTGCACTCTCTGGATTTTGCGAAAAACGAAAACAACCGCTCATCTGTTTGTAGCATGATTGTTTGTTCGTGAAATGACTGAAATTAATAAAACGCCGTTACTAAGATGAGAAAGGTTAATGTAAATGTATGTATTTTGATTGGATTGGCAACATATTCTGTGTTATCACTGACGAGGTTCTGCCATTGTCCTAGCCAGAGGTGTCAGCGTGACTGACCATGTCACACACTGTTTACTCAGTGTTGACTAAACAGCCTCCTCAGTGACCGTAAACCAGTCCTGCACGAGGGCAAAGTGTCCTTAAACAAACAACCCACTCCTCATATACAATGGTACTGACTGTGTTTATGACAAGGTCAACCCCATAGACACAGCCACTCAGAGCTGCACCTGTGCTACACAGCTGTTCACTTGCATTTCATTTAGACAAATGATATCCAAATTATCCTCTTCAGTTGAAGTTACGTATGTCAGTGTTAGTAGTTGACACCTATGTTTGCACTATTAAAGTGATGGCTATTTGGGGTTTCTGTGTGATACAGTCTATCCTGCGACTTTCATGGGGCCATAGCCTAAGCACTGGAACTCCTTGCTACCTTGAAAATAACGAGCCCTGAGAAAATAAAATCCTCTGCATTGTGATTTTATTGTTTATCGTTTCTGTTGCTTGACCTAGTCTCTCTACAGTCTGAACTTCCTTGTCATCAAGTGTTTCCACGGTGTGTTTTTAAACGTACAAAGACCAGCACTTCTGCTATAACGCGACGAGAAAAAACCCCCCACTGTTTACAGCATGACAATCTGATGAAAGTACTTTCAAATAAAGACAACACAATGCCCTAAATTGCAGTGTCAGTAATTGCCAATTCTACTTTGTGGATGAAATTCATAATTCACTATGATGCTTTCACTGTCAAATCTGTTTACACCTGTTAAGTCCTTATTGTGGCCGGTAAATTTTGTAAACATTTTACAGTGAAAGGTCCGAAGTTCCTTACAAGGTAAACCTAGTTAAGAGGAAGTGGTCAAACATCACACAAATGACTGTACTCCACATTCATGTCCTGTTTAAGCTTTATACTTTGCCCTGTTGTATGTAGACGCTTGTGTGACAACAATGTAAAGATTTTCTTATTTTCTGTTTTTTTTTTTTTTTGGATAAATCTCCCCACCGATGCACTTGTATCCCCACGATCACAGCAGTTATGGAAATGGAAAAACAAATAAAGTGATTGAATAAACAGATCTTTGTGTGATGAACTGTGTTCAGCTGTTGTGTGCCAATTCCTCTTGTTGTTGAACCTGCCATGTGATTAGCTAAACACAGCCTTTAGTCTAATTGGATAACCTGTAAATCTCATAGTGGCTGTCTGGGCACGAGGTCAGGAATGAGCTGCATGGTTGAACAAAGTCACCGTCTGCTCAAATCATCAGGCTCGTCCTGTTCACATCTAGCATTGGTGTTAAACTGAGGCTGTCACTCAAATAAATGATAATGAAAATAGAGCACGATATATAATATTAAAAAAAGTATAGAATACAATTCCATACTTGTTTTTTCTACTATCTTCTGTGCCTGTAGTTCTAACACAGTAGTAGTACACAGAACTACTAATAAGTACACTAATAGTGTTTAGGATTGTTGCATACAATAAAGGAGTGTTAATTTGGACAGCTAATTTATATTTAGTCTTAGTTTTATAAATTGTAACGTTGTCCCAATCTAGTCACTAGAGCTGGTTCAAATATTTTTTTGTCAGCTGAATTGAAATTGATTTAGTCAATTAAAATGCTAAAAAGCACACAAGCCCACCACACTGCGCTAAGCCACCTGGAGCAACCGGAGAGCTACGTAAGGATGCTCTTTGTTGACTACAGCTCAGCATTTAACACCATCATCCCAGACATCCTGGTCGGCAAACTGTCTGACCTGAGACCTCACCCACTCACCCGTTACTGGGTCAAGGACTTTCTGACAGACCGACCCCAGGCAGTGAAACTCGGACCCCACCTGTCCTCCACCTGAACACTGAGCACAGGCTCCCCACAAGGGTGCGTGCTGAGCCCCCTCCTCTACACAATCTACACAGCGGATTGCAGCCCGTCCCACCCCAACAACACCATTATGAAATTGGCAGACGACACAACAGTGGTGGGGCTGATCTCAGGGGGGAGGAGACTAAGTACAGGGAGGAAGTCCTGGCCCTGTCCACGTGGTGTTCGGCCAACAACCTGGCACTGAATGCAACAACAACCAAGGAGCTCATCCTGGACTCCCCCCACCCCCCTCCACATCAAGTGGAGTCTCTGGATGTATCCCACCCCACACACCATCTCTTTGAACTGTTGCCATCAGGCAGGCATTACAGGTCCACCAGAATCCGGACCAACAGGCTGAGAGACAACTTCTTTCTTTAAGCCATCATCAGACTAAACTCACACACGCACTAACACATCCCCTCACTGCACCACAACACACTACGTTGTGCAAGAACATCACCACAAATACTAAACCCCGAAGACTTTTTGAAAAAAAGAAAAAAATCTAAATTATTATTTACATTTAAAGTAAATTTCTTGCTATTGTTTTTTTTGTTTTGTTGCTTATTTAAGTGACCATTACAGCAGAGTAATGTTTGTATGTATCTGTGATACATCTGCAGGGAAGCCTTCCCCAATTTCGTTGTTTTAACCGAACATAATGACAATAAAGACTATTCTATTCTAAAGTACCAAACTCTTTACTTTATGCATCTTTACAATAAAACGGACTAAAATATATGGATTTTCGATTTGGAAGTGTTCAAAGCCATTTTATATATAATTATATATTATTTATATACAGTAAGTCACTTGGCAATGCAGACTTGACTTTTATTGGATAATCTGTAGATCTTGTATTGTGCCATCTGGGCATTGAGTCAGAGACGAGCTTCACAGTTAAATAGATCTCCATATACAAAGACTATCAGTTTCCACCAGTGATCACTTTGCTGTGATGCACTAACTACGTACAACCCTATTTATATATATATATTTAAACCCAGTACTAGTCACTTCACTGTACTAGTACTCTACTAGTCCTGTTGTCGCTGTAGTCATTTTGGTTTTGTGTTTAAGACTCTAAATACACCACGTAAAAATTATGGGTGCTTTTTAACTGTTTGTTTGCTTCCTGTGTTCTGAACAGTAGAACGAGCAAAGTTACACATACTACATTACCCACAATGCGCGTCGGACATACACGCCAAAATGCTAAACGGTAAACCACTTGCATTCAAACCAGCTTACATAAACAAAAACAACAACAAAGTACACCACTATTCATCAATCCATTCACATAAACATCATAACGAGTAGTTAGTTGCCGTTTCACCATTCAACCGTAGCAGAATCGTACTAAACACATACTCACGTTCGCGCCGCTGCATTTCCTGGTCCGGCAGCATAAAGTTTCCCAGTGGAAGCGCACACCATGGGAGAGCTGCTGCTTTTGTGTTCCATCTTGGGACACAGAAAACTTGCGTTTGGTGTACACCCCATATTATTAAAAAATAGATTTATTATGTTCAAGAATGACCGGAATAACAAAGAGCATTTGTGTATTTTGAACATATTTTTCATTTGTCTGTTGTCATTGATTCAATTTAAATTAAGTATGTTGCTCATCATATGTAGACAGCAGTTCTAGCTTAAGTGTTGCACGTCACCTCTTCCAAGGTTGCCGGGCAGTTTGACAAAATTACAATGACAACAACCCTATTTAAGCGCAGTGCAGATACAACAGATACAGCACGTGTTTACCACAGAACCGAGGGTATTTTAGAAAAACAAACTTAAAATTAACTAACAAACAAACAAAAACAAAAAACGTTGGCTACCACATTGCGACTCCAAACAAAACCAACATTTGTTAGATTGCTATCTCATAGTCTTTGGATACAAAAACCTAACAATAAAAAGTTTTTAAAAAACAAAAACAATGTCATAAGTGTCCTCATGCTTAAACATGTACATATATGGTATCATCGACATATGGTTTTAATATTAGAGATATGAGTTTAGGTTAACTATAAAAAAGTTGTGATGTAATTGTGATGCATATGGTTATTTCTATATTCAACGATCCTGGTAGCCAAGTATTTCATAGAAACAAAAGTAATGTGTAATATATACACTATATATTTTCTGCATATATATATATATATTTATACATTGTGTATAATGTTAAGAGCTCACTTGCTAAAACACATGTATGCGGGTATTGCACAGTCTTATGGTTTGATTTATTGACCACTGACGTGTCCACAGTCTCAGACTGCCGGTTGTTTTAATAAACGACCTGTACCAGCTGCAGTTATTAGCCACAGTTAAAAGCCACTGGGCACTTAATGTACTTGATTGTTTCCACAAATCTTGGGACCATTTTGGAACCAGACAGCCATGTGGAATATGACAGTTTTATCTGTATGAACTTGGCGACACTGCGACAGCAGAGACACACACACACACAGACACACATAGACACACTTACACAAGCAAACTCAACAGACAATTTATATGAGGAAAAAGTCTGTTAGTGCAATTAAACACACTGGATTTCTTGCTTTTTTATTGATCTTTGTAGAACATCTCATGACATCAGACAGTAAAAAACACATTGGCAAAGTAGATGGGAGCCATGCAACTGTACGTGATATAAAACAAAAACCTCTTCAAGGTTATTCAACCTTCTTCCTCATTGTACTTTCTACACATACTTTTTTGCTCACATCCCCCCCACCATTATGTTTTATTGCACAGCACGTGTACAAATTCCCAACAATCACTGATTTTTCAAAATTGTTCAGAAGTTGACATCAGAAGGCGAAAAGTGCTCCAAGCCTCCAAGGTGCTTGGCACAACCATGGACAGAAGATGTACTGCATGGTTAGATCAAGCACAATGGAGTCCCAGGCAGGGATGGAAAAATACACCTAAGGTCAAACATAGAGTATCCCATGAATTTTAGCACCTGTGAGGAGGCAAATCTAGGGTGAAAACAGTTTTTGATCAACAGTGGCAAACTGTGGAAACTCAATGAAATTATACAGTATTATCAAAGACCTGTTTAAGTTCTAATGGCGAGAGAGAGACAGTCCCGCAATTTGGTGGTATCTGAGATACACAAGAGTCCGAAGTCTAAACCCTAACCTGAAGGTCTGAAGGTTCGATGACGATCCAAGATCATTGACTCTACAAAATTGGCCAAACTGATTTATATCTAAATATCGTTAAAAAAATGTAGCACATACAATTGGGAGCATCTGTGAAATCAGAGAAAAAGATTAGTCATAGGTCATGATCACTGCGGAAAAAAGGGGCTACACCCATTGCGCACGAACTGCGTCAAACCCCTCCCTTCTGTATTTCGCACTCCGATTCTGGCGGACGTGACAAAAAGTTGAATAGATTTTCAAATAGATTCCCCTTTTTTTAGAATCAGAAAAACAAAGGCTTTTTTTCCGCAATAAAAATTTACAGCAGGCCTGAGGAATGTTGTCCTAATCAAATCAGTTCTGGGTCAGGCTACTGATGTTCCTAGAACGATCAATGTAAACTGAGTTTAGATAATGCAGCAGGATCTGAGTTCAGATGGTGAAGTTTTACATGTAATTGAGTGAAAGCAGAATTTTGTTGACCCGTCACACAATAAACTAGAGCATGAAGCTCATACGTTGACGCCGTCGTCTTTCACAGGACAATTCCCGTCTCCTTGGAGTAAAGACGCAGCTAGCCTAAAATCTTTGTCAGTTCTAACCGTTGGTTTTTACCGTCAGAGCGCAGCGAGAAAATGTCGTCAAGCTCCGAGAGATCTCTTTCTCCAGAAGGTTTGACACTTTTGTTACCCCCTGTTGTGGTTCCTTAGCTCCCCAGGGACGTCTCACTACAATGAAAAAGCATGGTGCCATAATCAACTTAGGACTGGGGCCACAGAAGCACTCAGTGTGATGAAATTACAGTGCAATGTGCATAAATGCTTCATGGAAGGACTTGGATGATGGACCAAAAGAAATGGCTTGAAAGTGGCAACAGTTTGGGTGAAGAAGTTGGGTGGTGGTAGCGATGGAACAAACCTTCACTTACAAGAACGATATGCAGATGTTTGAAGAGATGGGATATGGATGATGGAACGGTGCGATGATTCTTTTTTCCCCAAATACAGATAATAGTGAGACATGATGAATTCTTACCTCGTGTTCTGTAGGGTTTCTGAAATTCTACAAAAAAATGGAACTAGCCTAGTTGTTCAAAGTTGTACGTTCATTTTTAAAATTTGCTTCTAAGGTTTAATCTAACAAATTCAAAGCGTAGAATTACAACAAAATGACATTTTTCTTGCCATCACCAAAGCTGTGAAACTCATCTGAATCCATCTGTTCTACTTCGAAAGTCACTTCTACAGATGGCGGTCCCTCCAAGAAACCCACCTATTGCGATTGCTGGCCCCAAAGTCGACGCTAGGTTCAGCCGGTCGGAGGGCGATGAAGGCAGTTGGGTGGGGAGCTTTCTTGGAGAGATCCTCCAGCTTGGGCTACTTGAGACAGACTGTCCCGACTGCGTCCTCAGCACCCTTCAAGTCCCCATCTTCTGCCCCTCCTTCAAGCTAGGAGGGGTTGGCGATGTTCTCTTGGGATAGGTGCAATGGCAAGGAGGACCTGGTCATGCTGGGATTGGACGTGGGCTGGAGAATTTGGCGGGCGGGGGGTGGCCGTTGGTTCCGCATTTCATAAATATTAATACAAAGTCCTCCTGCTCCAAATGGGTAGATTCTTTAATTTTGTTAGAGGGGGAAGTGCTTTATTCACTTAATGGCTTTTATTAGTGCCTGGTCTTCAACTCTTTCATTAGCTAAAGTGCTGCTATAATTTACAGGGTAGAGGGGGGGTTGGGAGGAGGCGGTGTCTGAAAAGGGTTGATCCTGCTGCTGCTACTGCTGGACAGCCATGCACTACCTTTTACCACTGCAGCGTCTTCTAAAAGTGTTTTTTCTTTTCTTTCTCATACTTACAACTGCAGTGTGTAGCATCTTGCCACGGCGTGCATACTAAATAAGTGCTGTAGGTGATGTGATGCATGTCTTTTGCGCAGTGATCTTTTATTTTGTCAGTTAAGTCGAGTCCTGTTGCACACCGGATTCTTCCACCAATCAGTAATTAATTGATAGTCGGTCAAGATTGAAACCTGAAAGCGTTCTGTGTTCTTGTGTACTACAGGATTTCTTCACAGAAAATCTGCTCATAGTGGTTTGGGTATAGCTACTATTTATTGGGTATTGAGAACTTATCTCATCGGTTTTCAGTACGTAACTTAGTATAATTAAACACATAGTAAACCTGCCTTTTAAAATGTCTTTTTTTATGTAGTTCTTCCTAAAAATCTGCAGATTTAACTTCTTTTTTTAGCCCAAGACATAAACCATAATAGAAGACCTCATTCTCTACTTGTAGTAATGTAAATGTAGTTGAGTTTATTTACCTAACATAAAAAATCCCTGATTCCAAAATGACCTAAACCTGAAGTGAAGCTCATGTTGTTGCCCTCTTTTTGGTGGCTTTTCTCAGGACTGTATTTATTAATACATTTTTATTTCTTCTCTTTGTACCATACAATTTTATCGACTGTGCTCCGCACTGGCGCCATCCTCCACGGTGACCAGCTACTATCAGGTGCTCAGACACAAAATGACTGCTACACTTCATTCAGGCTGCAACATATTGACATTAGATACTGTTATCCTCCAGAGGAGCTCTGTGCTCTGATGAAATGCTCAGTTTTTTTGTTTTTTGTTTAACTCTGTGGAGTCTTGTTAGCCCTGAACAGCTGGCGTACATGTCCCCAGACTGCGTCTGAGTGAATGAACTGATTAACCTGAGTGGCTGTCCTTAGCAGAGAGAAGAGGGGAGGAGGAGGGGCTGGGCCTGTAGCCTGAATAACTGGCTTCATCATCAATGTCACATAAATCACTTAACTGGACAGGGCTTTCAGATGAGACTTTTCTCCTCCCTCCGAGCTCGGCTCAAGTGGTTGGAGGCAACATTGTTGCTATACGCTGCTGTGTTTCAGACTGAGGCAATGTTACTCATTTTTAGCATGTAGTGCTATAAATTCTATCGATTTGAACAGACATGGAAAGTGTGTCTGGACGATCCCTTCACTGGACGCATTGAAATACGGCCATTTTAATGTGTGTCGGAAGAAAAAGGAATAAGAGGAATAAAATGAAGCAGGACTCTTGGTGTATTGTACACATTTTAATGCAAGTCTTAACCAATATTCAATATGAACTATTCATGGTGATAAGTACTTTTGGTTCAGGTTTTTGTTTTTCAAATGTGACAGTTTCATTAATTTCACTTCTTTTTACTTGGAGCAGAAATAACTTGAAACCACATGACACACACACACGGTCTGATGAATTGATAAGTCTGACCATATATGGAGCACATGTACAGAGAGCTGTAAGACCCAGGCCATGCAGTTGAGATAACATCTCTTTTCACTTTTTCACCAGCTGAATAACATCTTCATCCTCCATCACATGGTCCTTGCCCACTTTTTGGGGGTTGTGTTTGACAGACGCTCCCCACACCAGGGCACTGGGAAAGGAAGGATTTAAAACAAAAGAATTAATGTTTATACAGACAACAAAGAAGCAGCATTATTGCAGAGAATTTGCCTCTGAGAATGGAAAAGTGCACAAACATGGTCAACATTTATTTTAAATATGGTCCTTCACTACAGAGTGACCTTCAGGGTACAATGTCACCCTGTTACTGAGGCTCTCTAATCACATGTGTGTCACAGTGTCTGACCCGTCCAGTCCCTGGAGGCCTGGTAATGCTCAGTAGCACTAACATATTGACGGATTGACGATCGTCGTGCTTCCATTTGAAGATGGCAGTGCGACACTCAACTCAGATCCTAATCTTAGACCAGCCCTCCATTAATGCTCATCTGATGCACCGTAACATTGGGAAGGTTAGGTTTTAAAATAAACCCTGCTGTTTAGCTTCAAAACAGAAACACAGGTAAACACATTTCACAGTGTTGCAGTCAGGTGTGCGTGTGATCTACCAGTGATCTACCAGATATATATATATATATATATATAAACTCTCAACTTACAGCCCAACATTTCATAAAATATATTTATAAATAAATTAATATATCTTCTGTTCTTTCTTTTGTGGAAACTCTTGATATATTTTTTGTAAAAGTAAAAAATTCTATTTTTTTCTTTTTATGGCTTACTCTTAGCTAAGACAGGTATTTTTAAGCAGATATATTTATAGCAGAATAAAAAGACAAAATTTATACAAACAACGCAAAAATGGGAAGAAAAACGCAGATTGTGGAAAGCCAAAACCTCATGTAGAAAATGATAACGGTGGTATAAATGTCCCTTTAGAGTTCATTTATGAAACCATTAAGCAACCATTATACTCACTATTTCAACTCTTTGATTAGATTTTTGTGAATCTTCAGGCAGAAATCCTCCACTGATGTTCGACCATCCGGAAGGACAACAGGAGAGGTGTAATCAGGAAGTTGGCCTTTAGGTTTGGTATAGCTGCAAAAAAACAACAACAAAAAAACAACATTAGCATCACATTTATTTTGGTGAGTTATTTTCAAATTTTTAAAAATGTATTCAACACAACGTCACAGACACAATCTTCAATTCTGTGAGAAGGAAAAATCAAATCATATAAATCAAATCAAATCAAAACATCAAGAACTGCTGCGTGAATTGTCTTTTCCTGAACGGTGAATACTGAATCTTACATGCGCACTAGCTGTAGATAATCCCAAATCCTCTCCAGCAGATCATCAAAGTTCCAGCGGTGGTGGGCAGAGATGGGAACACAGTGGGGAACCTTGTAGATGATGTCCAGCTCCTCAATGGAGATCTGATCGATTTTGTTCAGGACATATATGCAAGGGATGTAGACCCTGTGGACAAAAAGCAGTTGACACTTTAGGTCCCAGTGAAGGAGTGAAGTCGGCGCTAACGTCTGCTTCTCAGTAACAGCACGTACTCCTGCATCATTTGAACGGTACTTTGTTTTCAGAGATTTATGTCAATAACAGAAAGATGTCATAGACCCTGTTGGTTTTTATGTAGCTGGTTATCAAGGTAGATAAGTAGAAAACATACGTTTGAAGAAATTCTTAATCTTAATAATTCTTAAATGTAGCTGTAGCTGATAGCCTTCATGCGGGCAAAAAAAAAGAAGCATTTTCTAATTTATCTGCAGTGGTGCAGAGGAAACTGAAATAATGTTTCAGGACTACATCAGGCCACACCCGCCCAGAAATGATTAAGGAGGGGCCATGGTGGCACTTCTTCAGATTCAGCAGCAGCCGCAGCTTACCGATTTCCCTCCACCACATCAATGAGGTCATCAGCGGTGCAGTCGCCGCGCAAAGTGATGTCGGCGTTGTGGATCTTGTACTCGGCCAGGATGCTCTTCACCGTTTCAGGATCTAACTCGCTCTGTGCACACTAATATTGGCAAGAAAGACGTGTTACGGAAAAGATAGCTAAGATGCAGGTTAACACCACGATGAAAAAAAATAGAAAAACAAAACAATGCTTTTAGTTCAAATTATTAAAAGCAGTCAAGTAATGGTTTCATACATAAATTTAATGCAGCTATTTAGCTGAACGTGTGTGTAATTTCAGGCAGATCCACAAGAGAGCAGCATTGAAAAGGCTTCGCAGCATACAAAACAAGGTATGATAAAATCCTCTAAGTCTGCACTTCTGCATGTATCTTTAGAATAAATGAAAAATCAAATCCCTCCAATGACTGAACCCAGTGTAAGTTTTCAGACAAACAGTGTTTCCAATAACAAGTAAGTTACTAAATAAACCAACAATAAGCACTGTACAAATTCAGCATTTTTAGTTGCCTCTGCATTTCACAAACAGCTGAGACCTACCGTGGTAGTGAAGTTGATGCCTCCTTTGTCCTTCTTCTTGAAACCAATGTTGGGCGGCTGCTTATTCAGTCGGATGCCAAAACCCTCCAGCTCATGTTCTATTAGCTTCTTGTGGCCCAGGGGCTTCAACACATCCAGCACGATGAGGATGAGGTTGCATGTGCGAGCCACTGAGACGTGAGGAGATTATATAAAGACGTCTGTTAGAGCAAGGATGTGTCAGGACCACATGTGGCCCGAGGCTGCTATTTAAACAGGCTGTGGTTAAAGTGTGATCGGAAAATTGGGGTTAAAAAAAAAAACGAAAAAAAAAAACAAACAGCGCTGCTGCTTCTTTTTCTCATTTTATTATTAAAAAAAGACTTTATATATCATCCTGTCATCACATCCTACCACAGCGAATACCATACTTAATGTTTTATAATACTGTTTTAGAACAGTGTTTTTCAACCTTGGGTTCGCAACCCTACGTGAGGTCACCTGGATTTCAAATGGGGTCACCTGAAATGTTGAGTGATTGAGCTAAAATTGAGCTAAAATACCGACAAAAATAGTTTTCCACCTAATTATTATTCTTTTTTAAAAGTACGACTAAAAACTAGAATCAAGTTCAATTAAATGCAGCAGATAAAAATATACGAGCTGGTGCATCTTTATTGATGGCTATTAAAATGTCCCCCAAAATGTGTGATGTCAAAATGGGGTTCACAAGCCAAAAATGGTTGGCAACCACTGTTTTAGAAACAACTCATAACCATGGAATTATTAATTAATTAATACAAGTGTATGAGCAGTTCACACGGACATTGTCTGATATTCATTTCCAGATCTAAACACAGATGTATGGTCAGATATTTACCTGCGATGACCTGCCTGCCTCTGCCTTTGCCATCCTTGGCTCCCTCAATGATTCCCGGAAGATCCAGGAGCTGTCATAAAAAAAAAATGAAATCAAATACAATTAATACCATTTAATCAAAGTTAAAAATAATAATAAATATATATATAAAGAGTACAAGCACAGGGAACGCTTTTGTACCTGAATTTTGGCACCTTTGTAGCGGATGACTCCAGGTACTGTAGTGAGTGTGGTGAACTCATAGGCAGCTACCTCTGAGTAAACGCCTGCCAGGTTACTCAGCAGGGTAGACTTTCCTACCGAAGGGAAACCAACAAACCCAATACGGGCATCGCCAGTTTTCGCTACATCGAACCCTAAAACAGAAAAAACAACACTAAATAATTCAACATGATAGTTTTAAGAAGAGATATGGATTAATTTCTTGCTAATGAGTGTCTGCCTGATATTGGCCAAAACGTCCTCACATGAATGACCTGCTCAGCTTTGCACAGCATGCAGCTATCGGAGACACAACTGCAGCATGTGTCATGTTAACAGTATGACTGGCATACCATCTGATTTCTTTTTATTTTGTGGACATTAATGAAAGTCAGAATGACTAATTAATGCTAATGCTAATGACGTCAGTGCTATTTAAACAAAACAAAACAGGAGGGAAGCAATCACTATTTACTGAATATGTGTACTAACCACAACAGTAAACTCTTATTTATGTAGTGTCAAGCAAAGTATCCATGCTGAGAACATATATTACACTGTAATATATCTAACTGTAAAGAGAGTGCAGTATCAGACATGCAAAACTGCTAACAAGCCATTCTCAATAAAACAGTACCAAGGGGAAAACAACGATTTGCTGCTAACATTAACCCTTATCGGATCACTCTATTGACACACTCCCAGCAGTGATGTTGGGTATCGAGCCTGCCATCTGTCAAATCATCAGTAGTGCAGAGATGTGTCATATGATAAACGACAACTTTCCCACTGCAAATATATCACTTTGCTTTGATTGGATGAAGCAATTAAAAAAAGCTCTTACCTTCTCCTGGCCCACCACCACCGCCCCCCTTTGGTGTGATGAGCTCTCTTCTCAATTTGGCAAGACGGGCTTTGAGCAGACCCAAGTGGTGAGCGGTGGCCTTGTTCCTCTGCGTCCTGGCCATCTGCAAATTTTAAACAGTGTGAGCTCTTCGTTTTGACTTTGTTCGAACACTTTTAATACAATACTCCCAATTGGGAATGTTTGCAAATCACAATATATATTCCCAATTGGGAATGTTTGCAAATCACATTATATATCATATATATATAGAGAGAGAGAGAGAGCAAGAGAGAGAGAATAGATAGATATAATTTATATACGCAGACAGAGATGGATAGATAGAACATTATTAATCCCTCAGGAGTTTCCTTTGGGAAATTAGGCTCCAGCAGCGGTACAGCACAAAAACGACAGGAACACACAAGAGTAAATTTGATAAAATACGAACAGGAATAGCGGAACACCATCAAAGAATATAGAAAAACAATAAGGGTAATGCACAGATTACTAGATTTGTTAGTGATCACATCACCTTTTTCTGATATTTGGTTTGATAACAAACATTAAATGAAGGTAGAAAAATGTATAAAAAAATTTCTGCTTACATCCTTACATGCTAGCTTCACAAACTTTAATCTACTTTAATACCATTAACTCAAACACCGTCACATCCCAATGCTTGGTGCCAAGATAAGTTACATGAAAATAACCATATCACTCACAAATGTAATACAAACAAAATTATTTCACAAAGATAAATAACTAAACTTAAACCACAATTAACAATAAACATCATTAATACCTCAAATGCAGACGCACAATGGTATTGTACAGTTGCACGGTGAAGTAAACTGCACTTGACGAAAATATATACGTTACACTCTATATCACATATTCTTTAAAGTGCTGTTCCAGCTAATAATTCTATTTTGACAGCTAAGGACAATGTAATCGCAAAAGATAAAACATACTTTATTTTAAAGCACTACCATGCTGTGTAATGTCATTTATTTTTATCTTTGTATTTGAATACGTAGCCATTCGCCTGTCAGTCGGTGGAAGTATCTATACTAAAGACAGCCACCCGGTAACAACCGAACGTCATAATATCGTCAACAAAAGTGGTCATTGACATTGAAATATAGTCGATATTTCAATGTCACTGACCACTTTTGTTTAAATTGTGGTATAAAATCAGTAAAAATGTTTATTTTTATATTCAGCTTGCGGCACCGCCGGTCACTCGTCATTCGCCAGTGTTAGCAGCTAGCTCTAAGCTAAAACGTGACTGATTCATTGGGCTCTCATCAGTTGTTAGTTTCAACTCACCTCGCTTTCAATCTCTGCTATTTTGGCGAGTATACTCATGGTGGCGGTGGTTTCTGTGTGCTTTCAGCCCCGTGGAAACAAGCTGAGAATTTAGTGAGTGGAAGTTGGCAAAGTTAGACTTGTGTTTAGCGAATAGCACAGGCTAAACACAGTCCTACTCCACGCAAGTGCTACCGCTTCTTCGTCTTTCTGGTAGAGAACAGGTCAAAATGTATGGCGCCACCTGCTGTTTCGGAGTATGTAAGTCAAGCGGAATAATGTAGGACGAAGCTAATATACAGTAGTGAGAAAAAGTCCTTTTATTGTAAATTGGACCTTAACATATGACTTAGCATATTACCTTAACATAATCCGTTACTTCCAAATCATAATTGAATCCTAATTGAATTCGTTTTTCGTAAAAACCATCGAGAACCTCACCCTACTTTATATTATCAAAACTTTTTTTCCAGATAGCTTTCATGCCATCTGACCCACAGATCCAAAACCATACCATATACAGCAAAAACGAATAAAGCAATTTCTTTCATAAGAAATATGTTTGCACAAAAGAGTGTTAAAAATAAATTAATCATTATTATTGTGCTTTGACCCCCCCCCCCCCAAAAAAAAAGAAAACTGTGGCACTTGATCCCAGTCCTTACACCAGACAGAGAAGCAGATTGTAACCTGGTGTTAAAGAATCCTCCAAAATTCTATCATGAAGAAATTCTTTAAAGAAGGCGATGGAAATGTTCAGATTGGAATAGAAAATATGTGAAGGAAATATCACTAAATGATGAGAAAAGCCCTCAAAGCAGATTGACAGGACAGTTTAAAAGAGATAATGAAGATGGTTAGTGTGACAGAAGAGGAGTTAAAATGATCAATGATCATCTGTGCTGACCCCTAAAATGACCTGTTGAAAGAAGAAATACTTGTACTAAACACATCCACATACACCTGAAAAACTCAAACTGTCACAGGAAAATGACACAGGCCTATGAAACAGTATATTTTTTTTATTATTTATTGTATAAGTCGCATACAGTTTGCTCTCCCATTGGTTTATGTTGTAGAGGTTTGTGGACTCAACAGTTGACACTTTGTTGACCTGGTTGGCTTATTGGTTGGTGGGTGGAACATGAGGATTGCTACCGATTGAATGAGCGACCACCAGATGTCTGTTTGACCCATGCTACATCTGTGAGTGTTAGAGAGGTTGTCGTAAGATGACTAGTCACTTCTTAAAGGTTAACTGACCCTGTCAGGGCTTCTCACACACTTTGGAGAAATACTAAACAAATGGGATTTTTTTTTTCAGATATATTTCAAACATTTAAATTGGCTTCGTGACTTTAAAACTTTTGTACCAAATAAAATGTTCTTCGTTATCAAAGCAAGTCATTTAAAGAAAGCTGAATCTAATCTGGAGGTTACAAAAATCTTAAAAATGTTATTTTAATCATATGTATGGAAAAAACAAAAACACCAAACAGACTTGGTGCATCTTACCTCCAGTCCTGGAAATATTTCAAACCAAATGCTAGATATGCAGATGCTGTCATTTCTCCATTGTTGTTTGTCTGTAGGATGTGTGCTTGTCCTCATCAAAATATATAAAAATAGCTATTTTCCTGTTTAAAAGGTAGATATGGTCTCTGTGAGTTATTGTTCAGCAGTTCTTGTTACCCATCTGGGATGACAGTGAGCATAAATAGCACAGGAACGGGACGGGACGGGAAATGAGACACAACAAGACAAGGGGTAGTCACAGTAGACTGTACATAAGAAGTGGACGTAGTCTTCGCGTCGCTCAAAATTGAAGCCACAGAAGCAGCAGTGCAGGTTTTTACAATTGAAGTCTATGTTAAAACTATGGAATATGGCTAGGTCATGGTTTCAATTTTTATTTTCAAGTCGCCTTCATTAGAAACATGTCAGTTTGTCGGTTGTGCTCCAATTTAGAGGAAGAAATAACATGTGATTGACAACTGCCTACAGGCAACTCAACCAAATTCCAGGTTTTTAAAATACTACTGTTTTTTGCGTCTCTGAACAAACAGTTTTACCACCTAGTTTTTCAACATGGCTACATCCATTTCTTATGTACAGTCCATGCTTATTACATATATATCATTATCACTCAGTATTTCCTACACGTCCAAGTAAATACTTTTGAAAAAAAAGGAAGGAAAAAAGAAAGAAAAGGTTTTTGACTTGAGTCGTCGACATCAGCCACAGCTTGAGAATCCGCAATAATAAACCCATGCCCAAACATCTCAAATGTTCTTATTTTAATGAGCAACAATTTTTTTTTAAATATCATATATCAGTCAGCATTGAAGTGCATTGATTAAAAAGTAAGTGCAAGTACAGATTTGAATGCATTCATTTTGACTAGAGGAGTAAGTCATTTGCACTGTCGCCACAAAAATACTCATATTCTGTGGGGCCACACTGCAAACAGAAAACTGCTATAGTTGATGCTGTTTCTAACCTAAAAGATATATGCTTTTTATCTCTGCTCATTTCAAGGTTTTACAGTTCTCTCTGAGTGACAGTGTGTGCAGGAGTGATTTTCCCACTGTCGGTTCACTGCAGGCCATCGAACACAGCATTTTCCCCCCAACATTGTTGATCTCCCTGACTGATTGCTCAGCAGATTCTTAGATTGCTTTGAGGAACACAGAAACGAGCCTGTGGAAGCACAGCGTCTGTGAGGAGCACTAGTTTAGTGCAATAGTTTCACACCGGAACGTTAACCTCGTCACCTGAACCTGGCTACCTCTGCATAGAGATGGAGTGGAGAGTTCTTTTGCAGTAGCCTGTCGAACGGCCGTCACGTTCTCTCCGAGGGAAGCGCTAGTATTTGAGGTCTCGTCACCCTAGGTGAGGATAACGAGATCTTTTGAGGTAATAAAAAACATAAAACAGCAGGAAGTTCTCCTTTAAAATGCCTCGTCCCCAGTTTGTTAGATTCTGTCATCAGAATTTGGATAATACGTATTTGAAACCATAAGGCTTTACGATAAATGCAACTTGGCCATATGATGGCAAAAGTCACCAGCGGAGGCGTTCCCCCCTTCGACTCTAGCTGCTCTCGGAGGAGGTGGGCGGTGCAGTGGAGGACGACCGCCGTCGGGACACCGACTGTGAGCGCTCAGGGCTGTGTTTGTCGTAAGGCTGGAGCTGCACCTCCAGGAAGTCCCTGTGCTGCTGGCTGATGATCTGACTGATGAGTCCTGGCAGCGCCTGCAAGTTACTCAAAAGAGTCTCCAGCTTTGTCTCCAGCAGGGCGATCCTCTTCTCCATGTCTTCTCCTCGTTCGTTCAAGTCCGATATCATGTCGTACATGATGTTCTGAGTCTGGAACAAGGGAGAGGAGAGACACTTAGGATCACCCTGTTAGTTGATCAGCGTGGACAGGTTCACAGACAACACTAGAGCAACAAAGGCAACACCAGAACTGTCAGAGGAGGACATGGAAAGACAAGAAGACAGAAGTTGAGAAAATGAGAATCTGTTTTCTAATCCTTCGGGTTGGCGTCTGCTCGTCATCTGATATGACTTCAAATGCACCGGCAAATCAAAATCTGAGCTTCTTGAAGTGACATTTATGGACACCAAATATGTGAGATGTGATTCTGAATATTTCTCTGCAGATCTGGAGACATTTCAGTGACAAACAGTCAGTCGTCACTGATAAGTAGTCGCTCCTACAAGCACAAGCTAACAAACAGTGCCACTTTTTGCTGCGGAGGCCGCCCTATGACATCACACACGGGCTCTGTTACGGCCTCCAATCTAAAGAAGCTGTCACCTGATGAGAATAAGAATAATTAGAGGAAATAGATGTTCTTTTTTTCATATTTGAACAGACTGCTGGGAGTCCAATAAACACAGCATAGACAGGAACCTGAGGGTCAGAAGATCAGCACCGAAACTCAAGCCAAATGGGCTTCTATTACAAGTGCGATCATCAGGTCCATGTCGTCTAAACTCAGCCACTCCTCCACTTTGGTTGAAAGAAAATGCTGTAAGCAAGAAGTTTTTTTTTTTAGAAAACAAAAAAAACCCCAGAGGAATTCAATGGTTAGAAACAACTGCTGCTAATGAATGCCAGTAGAATGACAGAAGACAGTGGAGCCGCCTGCTGACTCCACACACACACTTATTGCTCTTTCACAGCACCAACCCTCTCTGTCCTCAGACTGAAAAACACACTCTCCGGCTGCAAATTTAGAAGTTTGAAAAATAGTCAATGGCACGCTGGGAAATCTGTGTCACAGTTCGTGTTTAGCAGAGGGAAAGTTGCTACCACAGGGCGGTCTACGAGATATTACTCAGCGGACGACTAATAGTCCTTCACAACTTGGAGGAGTAGCCATCCATCACTTACCTCGTCCTCTTCTGATTTAGGCCTGGGGTAATGGGATAGGCTGTTTATGTGACTCTCTGATGCAGCTCAGCCTCAGGGCTAATGTAAGCCTCCATTTCTCTGAGGATTTTGCAGCGGATAAGGAATTGAATTTAGCGTTTTTTTACAGGCGGTGTGAAATGAAATATGTGGACATTTGTAATACGCACGTCACCCGAATCCTTTCCGCAAGTTCGTGCTCAAAATAACTCGCTACAAATGGGCAGAGACAATCAGCAAGAGTGATGTCATCACATGAGATTCCTGGATAAGTGTTTGAGTCAGAGTAGAAGGTCACAGATATTAGAAAAAAAAAATACTCCTTAAAGTTTTCTAACAGTGAACTAAAGACAAAAACAAGGATTGAGGAGTAACGTTCAGAAGGAAACACCAGATGGCACCAGAGGGAGACAAATGTAGCAAAAATGTCCTCAAAGAAAGACACCTGAAACGTCATAAAAATAACAATTAACAAATAGTCCTTTTAACTAGTCTGACATACTCTTTTAATTATCTTTTATATCAGATTTTTAGGCTGTAGTGCACAATTCGGAACAATATCATAACACGTGAAGAGTGAGATGATGCACACTGCTTCAGTATTTAAAGATAGTAGTAAAGTATGTAATTTTTAAAGGAGGGAATTCAGCCTAACATGGTGGAGTCAAATGAGATGTGAAAAAAAAAACAACATTCATGAAAAGAATCAGTTTCATTAACTGAGAATAAAACCTTTATAACCTGTGTTATGGGTTTCAGCGCACGGACGTTAACGGTATTTTAAAGGGCCCTGCCAAAAAAAAAAATCACATTGCACTGCAGTGTCAATGCAGCTGCCAGGGTTCAACTCCATTAAAACACAACCGTGAAGAAAGTGATGCGACACTGCCCCCTGGTGGAGTAGAGCGTTTACAAAAGCGATTAAAGAGCCAGCTGAGACACTGGCTGGAGGCCACCTTATCTACCCTCACATCTCGACAGCACGAGGTGATTGGGTCGTATCCACTAATGCCCTTCATGACACGATGGCCTGGATCCAGTTTGACTGTGGTGTACTTGTGAATGTCAGAGTCTGCAGCCTTTCTTCGCTCCCACCTCTCTCCCTCTTTCTCTCTCCCTCGCTCGCTGCCTTTATTTGTGGCTGAATCATCAGATTGCAGTGTCTCCCTTCCCAGTCCCTAAGGTTTGTCAACTTATGTTTAGTGCATCTACAGAGACATATCTGAGGGAGTAAACTGCACTGGCTCATATATACAGGTATATATATATATCACAGGTATATATATATATATTTATATATATATATAAATACATACACACATATAAGTGTATATATATATATATACACACATGTATACTGTATATAAGTATGTACATACATATGTGTCTATATATGTATGTATATGTATATATATATATATACACACATATATATACACAAAAGCTGTTATTTCCATTTAGTAATTGTCTGTAGAACGTATCGTGTTGCTTTAACCTGTAAAAATAAAGACAATGTTATTGTTATTTATTGTTATTGGTATGTTGTTTTATACCCAGTGTGTGTGTCCACAGTGTGGGTTAGGGGCAGTTGAGCAAAAGCACCACACAGATTTCATGTCATCACCCTTTGAGAAAGCCTGTCTGTTTATTTGACACCTGTAGACTTTGGTTCTATTGGACAGAAAAGCTACACAGAGCAAATGTACCAGCATGCACTGGGCTGAGTCAGGGAAATGAAAGCAACTCAAGTCAAGACGGTTGTTCTGACCTAATGTGGGCCGTTGGTCTATCTTACCTTAGCAAGGTCCACTAGAGAGTTTGCTTGGTCATTCAGCTTGCGTTGCTCCATTTTTACACTTCTTAATCTGAACACAAGACCATTCAGAACCCAATAAATGATCACTACCAAATTTCTTTAGGAAAGAAAAATATATAATATATATATATATATATATAAATATATTTTTTTAAATGTGTGCACACACAGAGGCATACACACGGAGAACACTCCTATAGGACATGCACAGGATGTGTGTAGAGAATGCAGGGATTGCAGGGGTCAGTCTCTTTAGTTGAGCTGCATGCAAGTGGAAAGGAGACCACGCAGGGAGGAGGGCGGGAGGTGGGGGCTGCCACTGGAGAGAAGATGATGGCTCTGCTCAACCATTTAATACACTCACACTGTAGGTAAGAAGATCATCAGATGACCTAGCAGGGCAGAGTGCTTTTATGAAACCATGCAGCTGCTTTTGATATTGGTATATAAAAAGAAGTTCCTCGCAATAAACCAGCTCTTTGTAGCTCCTCCAGCCACAAATATCACTTTTAATAAACTGCCTGTTCTCTCAACCTGCGGGTTATGAAGTACACTCAAAACACAAGATCAGCAGTAAAAACACAAAAGGTCAACCGTTAAGGGGAGTCTGTTTTGGGGGCTGGGGTGGAGGGGGGTGAGTTACAGTTCACTCCTGGGAGGCAGAACAGCCCCAGTTTAATTTGTTGTCACATAAAAATGCCCCCCCCCCATCCTTTAAATTCCAGATTTGTTCTAACACCTAAGCTGTACACACACTTGAAGATAATCACATCCAGTGTACCAACGTCTACTGCTTTCCTCCCATTCTCTCTGCAGCGGTGCAGTACGGCACGGAGTGTCGACTTTGCAAGTTTTAAAAATATTACAGGTCTTTTCCCTCCTGAATCTCCCCCACACATGCTCAATTACAACAAAACAGTGCATCAGAGGTTGGACTATGATATAATGTTGATTTAAAAAACAAACAAAAAAAACCCCAACAAAAGCAGTAAAGGTCCTATATAAATGTTGTTAGTTCGGTGTGTAAAACATTAATGAAGGTAGAGAGGAGCCTGACGCAGTCTCTGGGGGAGGGACGGGAGGGGGTCTGTTAATTAGCCGTGATTCACCCATTCCCATGCAATGCAGGATCATTCCTCAGTCTGGAAGATGACAGGTCAGACCAACAGATGGCGCCAAAGGAGCCACTAACGGAAAAAAGGGCAAAAGGGAATATGTCCGGATAACTGAGGAGCAGTGCTTCATACAGAGCAGACTCTGGAGACAGGCACGTGAAACTAAATGAGCTTTTTTTTTTGTTTTGTTTTTTTAAAATTAAAGTTAAAAGAAACAGAGTTAAGAATCTAAAATGTTCTGTTTCGATGATGAAAGATCGTTGGTATTGAGTGTTAAATGGTTCGGATGTTAATGTACGACTTGTTAGAGTTCTGCATTTCACAGTTGGATGACCAATAGCTGACAAATGGGGTCAAAGCAGAGGCCAGCCGGAGGTCAGGTTTGGGGACACACCCTTTATGTTTTGCACACCTCCCTCCCTCAGCCCCTCACTCTCAGTCTCCTGGGCAGCCTCTCTGTTGAATGGACACTTTACATCTGTTTGTTATTCATCAGGGTAAAACAGCTCCGCCAGGCCTTTCACTACTTTAATAAATCTGCGGCGGTGGAGGTTAATGCTGGGCCATATTTCCAGCCATCACCTCCATTCGCCTCATTGTGATAAGCACATGCTAATTTATCATTATAATTTGTTTACTCCCAGTGATGGACAAGGGTGTCATTTTCTATTTTTATTTTCTCGATGCATCATGCTGTCAGTTACAGGTACAGCCTCTCAGGGATAAGTGAGACTGCTCCCAGGCTGTACCCTGACCTTCAGTTTTGGGTTTCGTTCCGCTGAACACGGAGCTAACAAGCACTCGGTCTCCTGCTCCTCCTTGCCACGGCTCCCACTTAAACTTTGTGGAAGGAGGAGGAGAGCGGCGTTTCCCACAGGGCAGAGTATAGTTACACTGTAGCAGCTGAGACGCTCCACTTAACAGCTGTACGGCCTGAAAACACACTGCCACATCCTGCCGGAGCTTTGGCAGAAATGCTGCGTCCTGATAAGCTAATGAGCGTTTCAGCTGTGCCTGTCACTAATTCCACAAATCCCTCTTAGCGCAGAGGTGCGTGACAGCTCCGTGTCCTTCTGATTATGCCGTTTACGAGGCGCGATAACGGTGCATCGGCATCTCTGCCACTGTGTCATCCAACAGGGAAATGGAGGAAATGTGGCTGCAAATGTGGTAGCAGGCCTAACAATGGTTCCACGCGCCGAAAGATGACCCGGAGCCATGATGTGTACGAGGTCGACCACCAAGTTGGCAGTGAAAGAGACGCTCGTGCCACTGTGGCTCCGTCTCCTGGCGAGCCTGAGTCGTCATCCTTCGGTACGTGAAAGCAGAGTTAATTGGAGTTTAATCAGTGACTTTCTGATTAAAGATCAAAATTCTCATCACATCCATGCAGAAATGGAAAACAGCCTCCGTCACTGATAATTGAAATTCACTTCTTCTGCTTCTGTGGGCGTGTTGGACAAACTACGCTGGGATAGAAGTGTGACAGTGCTGGTTTCTCACAGTTGGCTGAGTGCAGCATGAAATATTACAGAATGAATGTGTGAGACTGTGTGTGTGTGTGTGTGTGTGGTCAAATCAACCTGCTGCTGAGATGTTAAAATCCCTTTATGGTAATATTAGGGTATTTCAAATGCCATCAATGTGAGTGTGTGTGTGCGTGTGTGGAGCAACCCTTTTGTGGCATGAATTTCACTTATCAAATGAGGGAGTGTAATTTCTGGTCACACCGTTGGGTTTCAAGGACAAGCTCTCGTTAGCATGCACACAACAGGTCTAGATCTACGTGTGAGGCGAAGACTTACTTTCGAGCTCTATCGCATTGTGTGGACACAAACAGGAAAAAAAAGGAAACATGAAGTAGACAAATGAATTATTACAACATCAGATCAACATATTCAGACGGCAGAATCAAATCTGTTGGCTCAGGTCTGGCTGCTGTAACCCTCGTGCTTACACTGCCTCCTCCCCTGCGAACAGCAGCGGTCGTTCTGCTCCAATCGTTTCTTCCTGCGACCACGCTGTTATCTCCCCTGCGTTTGCTCTGTTTCCTGTAGCTGCAGCTTAGCTCGCTCCCTCAGCTTAATCCCCTTTACTACACACCGGTGCTGGTTTCCATCAATACAGTCCAAAATTCCTGCTCCGACACAGACAGCACCTCAGAGTGTCGTCTGCTGTCCCATTTTTATTCTGTCTTTTCCGATACCTGGACGTTTTTGAAGCTCTACACAAAGTCAGATTTAGCCTCGTTAAGAGTTAACGTAAAATGCTAAAAATGTTCTGTATCAAACTCTCCTTCACACCAGCCTCTGGCAACAACCAGCGTTCTGTCCCAAAAATATAAAAATAGGCCAAAAAAAAAAAAAAAGGAAGATTTTTTTTTTGGTCATGTGCTTTTCCACAAACCACAGGTATGCAGAGTTAAAATAATGGTACTAAATTGGTCCAAATTTGTCCAAATTTTTAGGTTTGTTCAAGAATTAAGATACAATTAATTAGATAATAAACAATGACCAACATTTTATTACTAGTGTTTTGGGGAAATTTCTGAAAGAGGAGGAAAAACATGCAGCAAAAACTGTTGAGTTTGGAACTTCAGCTACCTAAAGCTACGCCGTATAGAGGACTTTACATGGTTGATCTTTTTTCTCTCTCTTTCCTGGACTTCACTATTCGATTCTGATGGATTTAAAAAAAAAATCATCATTGATTGACTTCACAATCTATCCACCTCATGTGATATTGTTGAATTTAAATATACATAAAATAAAAAATAATAATTCATTCACTTGATGCTGTAAACTCCTAATGTCTATGTTAATTTCCCTCCACGGTTTGCAGAACATTTTGCCATAAAATTGGTTGTGGGGAAAACTGTGTCGTAGGAATGTTAAAAACATGCAAATGAGTCGTCCTTGCACCAAGAACAGGACGTTTCTGTTTTCCCCGGCAAACCCAGTTCTTTATAGATTGAACGGCGGCTGAGTGGGACCTCCATTATTAGGTTGTCCTAGAGAACAGGAGGTGGACACGAGCCGTCGTCACGACTGCTGCAAATCGCCTGAATACAGCATCAAGGACAAAGTGACTTCACAGAGCGAGCGCGACAAAAGGCTATTAGACGGCACAGATTTTGGACGTGGGTTGCAGCAGCAGACGGTGCGTGCGTGTGCTTCTCTACCTCCCAATTCAGCAAACCTGGTGTCTGCACAACAGAGGTGTGAGTTAAAACAAAGGTTCATGAGCAAAAAAACCAAAGCTGCAGACGGGGGAGACCACAAAGGAACAAACACACAAGGAACAAAGCGGAATAATAATAATAATAATGTACGCCTTGTGCACCAAGCACAGTCGTCACTGCAGGGGGCGACGCACCACAGATTAGAGCGCATGTGATCACTGTAGTTTAAAGAAAAACAGCAGTGAGATGAGGCTGGAATCAATACTTTATGGGCTCCTCAGGGACCAGCTAAGAGACCAGCTGACAGGTCAGTGTCTGACTAACAACTAGGAACGCAGAAAACCAGATACATTAGCCTAGAGGTCATCCTGACATCTGACTGAGAGCGGAAAAAAAAAACTCACTTGAGCCAATCTGATAAGAAAAGAAAAACAACCTTGTTCATCAGTGGATAGTATTTCAGTGAATGGAAAAAAACAAAACAAAGAATAAAATGATAACAAAAACCAAACAACAACAACAGCCAACTCTGTAGGCCATCTGTAAAAGGTAAACATTAGTGAAAAAAGGAACAGTGCACAAGTTTCTTCAACAGCAACGACGGACGTGTTTTTTGCTACAGGTGTCAAACAATTCAGATTTCAGGTCTGTGCTGCACTGCTGCGTGAGGAGGGGGTCAAACCAACACAAGGGGTCGGGCTCGGGGTGGAGTACCTACTGGTGAATGGCTTGGAGAAATTTCCTCTGGTGCTTCCTGACTTTGGCGTGGTCCATCTTCCTCACCAGTTTGGTGTTCTTGTAAATGAGCCACGTCTCCCTGAGAACGTTCGCAGCTGTGTTTTTCACCTGCAGCACCATCAGAGTGGAGACGTTGAAAGCATTTAGGTGGAACGTTAAAGCCATTGTGTAAGAAGCGGAGCGTTTACTCACTCTTTTTGTTAGCTGGGTGTCCATCATAAAATTGTGGACATGTTTTTCAGCTTTGGTTAGTTCCAGTTTCTTTGCCACCACAGCGACGACCAAAGCAGTGCAGCCAGCACCCTGGAAAAAAGAGCAGTAGTTATTATTAGTCATTCTTTACTAGAAATAAAATATTTTTTACATGTACTATGACAGAAAAGATAAAGTATATTTATCTAGCTAAGCAGATAGCACATAGCTAGTTAGCAAAAAAAGGACAGTAGCATCTACTGTAGTTTAAAGAAACACATCTGCTTGCTTCTGCTTAGATAGATAGATATACTTTATCTACCTACCTACCTATCTATCTATCTAAGCAGAAGCTAGCAAAGCTAATTAGCAAAAGAAAAAAAAAGACAAGGCAAAGCTAATTAGCAAAAGAAAAAAAAGACAACATCTACTGTAGTGTAGAGAACACATCTGCTAGCTTCTGCTTAGATAGATAGAAATACTTTCTATCTATCCATCTATCTATCTAAGCATAAGTAAGGAAAGCTAGTTAGCAAAAGACAAAAAAAAAGACAATAACAACTACTGTAGTCTGCTAGCTTCTGCTTCCTGGTCTTCCGACTGAGACCAGGTGCTCTTCAAATATTCCTTCAGTTCTTTGGGGAAAAAAATTAAAACATTTTTTAAAATTTTAATTAGGTTTTTTGGTTCATATTTTGGCCACTGATTCCTCCACGGTCAAATTGACCTTCGGCAGTGACCTTGAATATCTTTGAAAAATGTGTTGTATGTATTTTGCCAAAAAGCTAATTGAAAATACTTCAGTTACTTTTCCTTTTGTGGTGTTTCTATCAGATAATTCCTTTACTGTAAAACACTGGAATAATTTTCCTGTCTGGGAATTTCAGTAGTTTGTTTAGTAGTCCCCCCCAATGCATTTAGTTTGGTTTACTTTGCACTATGCCTTTAATTTAAATACTTTGATGTTTGTTTTTGGTCGATGTAGCGTTCACTTGTGTTTAACAGCGAAACATTTCTGTTATATATATTTATATATTTATATTTAAGTCACAGAAAACATGTTTCCCACTTTCTCACCATAATGCCAGTCACGAGACAGACTCCTTTCCCACAGTATGTGTTTGGTACCATGTCCCCGTAGCCAATGGTGAGAAACGTGATTGAGATCAACCACATGGCTCCTAGGAAGTTGCTGGTTATGTCCTGGCTGTCGTGGTATCTGGGATAAATGACACAGGCAACATCTGCTGTAGAAAACGGACGATGGCTGCTTTGTTAGTACAATACAGAAATATACTTCATGATAGATGTCATAGGACCTAGGACTGGTATTTTTACAGCTGCGGACCCGGTGTAGAATTATCATTAGGGATCATTACATTTTCGAAATCTTCTGTTAGTATTGCAGTCTCAATGACTTAAAAATATTGCCAGATTATCGTTAAATAAAGAAAGTAAACAGCGAGTGGATTCTCTTTGAATGAAGCCAGTAAAAATAAAATACAGTTTTCACCAAATTATCTACCGACTGGTATAGGTCCACGGACCGGGGGTTGTATCTGGATCCCTGTTTTATAGCGTTCAGATACGAGGGGATCTCAGGAGTTGGTACATATATATGTATTTTTACGTCTTATCTACGGGCACAGCGAAACACGAGGAAGTGAACCAGGCACCTCTCACAGGCCCGGACGGTCCATGCGGCGATGATCCACAGCGAGATGGTGAAGACCAGGAGCACAGTGCCCGGACAGATGGTCATGAGGGTTTTCATCACAAAGCGCGTGTTGAAGTTAATCTTGTTGAGCGCCCCGATGCTGCGGGACGAGGCGTCCGTGAAGAGCTTGCTGTGGAGCAGCATGACCCGGGCGATAAGGTACAGCCGCAGGAACATGGGTATGGACAGGATGATGTCCACGTCCGCGTCCGTCTTGGACGGCACGTACGTGTAGGCCAGCCGCGCTGTCCAGGTGAAGGTGTAGTTTCCTGGAATTGGGTGGATGGCACACACCAGGATCTCCAGGCAGATGAAGAAGATGCGTTCGTACGTCATGGCTATCCTCCAGTCATCGGCCGCGTTGTCCACCATAAATAACTGCAAGGAGAGGGTGCGGTGAAGCAGGTGGAGGGTAAAAGGCGGCTAACACTTTCATCAGGGTGACACAGCCAGATACAGGAAATCATTAAAGCCATTATACCATAAGTCACAAACAGCACAGAGTCACTAAATCACATTCTTCAGTCACTAATGCTGCTTTCTCCCTGCATGAATCGACCTAAGAGCTGGGAATAGGAATATCAGGAAAAACCTTTTCTACATAATATCATACGACGGGGACGCTGTCTAGTTTCACTGCATGTAAAAAAAATAAAAACTTCTTTTTTTTTGCAAACACATTTGAGCTACCTGCATATAAAATGGATAAATATTTAGATAAATAACTTTCTAGATCACTGGTTCTCAAGCTATGGTACCTGTAACTAATGTGGGCTCCCTCTAGTGGTACATAGGCAATTGTAAATTCCATTAGGATTAGGTGGAACACAGATTCTTGTTCTATACAGATGTTCCATATTTTTGTTTTGTGTGTGTGTGTGTGTGTGTCTATAATTGTGGGGACAATGCTTTATTATGAAGCCCTTTTGTCCTTCAGGGGACATTTTTCTGGTCGCCACTAGGGGAAGAAGCTAGTTTTCTGTTCTGGGTTTAGGATTAGATAGGATTGGGCGCACATTTATTCTGGTTAAAGTGAAAGGGTCAGGGGATGCATTATGTCCCCCCTCCCTATAAAGACTTGAGGGGGACTGCTATAAAGAAATGCCACCTTGGACTGTTATTTAATCTCCAGCTGACTCAAACATGCAAGACACAACCTAGAGATCAATAATGACCATAATTAGACCGTGCATGGACAGACAATGACAAAGGTGGACCGACAACGACACCCAAATGGTTTGGTAGCCATCTAAAACAATTACATTTTATTTATTTTATTAACTATTTGGTTGGACATTGCCTAAATGGCCCCTCCCTCTGAAAAAAAATCTGTTGGTAGGTGTTTTGCAAACCAAAAAGTCTATTTTTTTTAAGATTTAGTTTGATTTTATTTCATTTTACAGCAGCATCACAACGACCTGAGATTTACAGTCTTGTCTCAGTGAGTCCTTGACATGGTAATGAAATGTACTTTACTACATGTCTTTAAATGGGTCCTTCACACCAACACATCAGATGAACCTCCAAGCCTGAGGGCGCCTAGGTGTAAATATTGCAGTGGCAGTAAAATTCATGGTAGAATACAATGGAATAAAATAGAACAATGTTTCTTCGGACATAAAAACAACCAAATGGTCACGAAAAAAATGTTGACGCGCAAGTGGTTTACCTACAATTTCCCTAAGGCAGTGGTTCTCTATTTTTTTCATGCTCCCCCTAGGGGACAGATATTTGTTCACACACACCCCACAAATACTAAGAATATGAAATATCTTATCTGTACAAACCACTGTATGAGTTGCTGCCACCTAGTGGCTGGAGGCTTGTTTATCATTCAAGCATTACAGCAGTGGTACGCTTATGTCCAGTGTGCCATTATCCACTGGAAGACCCTCACGCCTAACCTCACTCCCCCGTCCCTTGTGTCACCTCACAGCACCCACCAGGGGGGCCCACTCCACTATTTTAGACGGGTTCAAGAAAGTTTCTAGTATTTAACAACAGTTAGCGTGTTCTGTTGGTGGATGCTTTTCTGGCACCTTCTGGCATCACCTAATGTATCAGAGAGACCTTTTCATCTTTAGAACCTCTAGAATGAAGAGAACATCTGCTGCCTCCACATCACGTGATGCTGTGGTCACCGGCCCACCCGACCAGAAGGTAGAGTATTTCACAGGGGACTTGTGAGAGGCTGGTTCATCAGTCTTCTCCACCCTGCTGACTGTCACTGTACTGTCTGTACATCTGCCTCACATGGTCACCGCTGCTGCCGCCGCTCCATTCTCCTTCATCACCTTCAATCCAATCTACAGTTATCTCCAGTCCAAAGATTCACTGCTAAGGTCATTCATCCAGAACTTTTGTCTGAGCCTGTGATTGCCATCTCCGCCTCCTGACCGCAGACACTCTCCTACCCCCGTGACGCTTTTTATCCATTTACCAGAGACAGTTGCAGATGAAGCAAAATTCAAGTGGTATCAGCTTTCACTTCTTTCATATTACGATTCCTCTTTATGACACCCCACTCTGATTTCCCTCCTCAAATGCCCCTGTTCTCCTCCCCTCGATCAGCCCCGGGCCCACTGCCTGCAGGCCATCACGACTGGCAGGAGATATTTCACAACATGACGCTGTCAGCAAATTCAAGTGATGTTTTCATGATGATTGTTTTTTGTTGTTGTTGATTGTTGTTTTTTCTGCCATGAAAGCAAAATCTTTCCCAAAGGCTAGAGAAGGCAGGCAGCAAAAGCCTCAGCTACACGATCGCTAATGACTTTCATAATCACCTGAAGGAGAACGAGCTCCTGGCTCCTGGTTTTTTTTTTTTTTAACACAGTGAGCGTCCTTTTGGTGACCGTTGAATACTCCATAAATACTTCCCTGTGGTCTGTAACCCATATGGTCTGCACCTCCTTCTTTCCTTTTTGCTTTTTATTCCTTCATTTTGTACTGTAGAATCTCTTCTAAAGTTGCCCGTGCAGCAGCTATCTATCAGAGGAGGAAGTCGTTTCCTGGAACGGACAGTTCTCCAGTCCAATACATGACAGAAAAAAAAACTAATTCTGCATGTTTTTCGACAGGGAGAAGAAAACTCTGAGCCTCTTTAAGACATCAACCCAGTTTATGAACTACCTTCAGACAGCAGGTCAAGCCGCTCGATTATTATTATTATTATCATTATATTCGTCCGTCCGTTTTCATCCACTTTTCCGTTACCAGGTCGTGGAGGCAGCAGTCTCCATGACCACCACCCAAATCACACTGCACCGTACCACCCCCCCTGAACCTTCCTGTGGGTGGTGAGTCCACTGGAAGGTACCAACCACCCTAACTGGGATCCTATCTTCACCCAGGAGGTGAACCCTGGGGTTATTATTATATATTATTATTACTTTTTGTTCAGTCTTCAGTGTGAACCTTTAAGTGTGTATCTGAAGTGACTCGCATATGAGGAATAGGACGTGACACACTGTGTTTACAGAAGTGAAAATGGATGCTAGACGTGTCGGCGATGTTTGCAACAATTTGGAAACTAACGTCAGTCAATTTAATTCCTTTGCTCTTAGTAAATGCCTCCTCGTTTGCTCTGCGCCAAAGCTGGGGCTGTCGCATTTTGCGTGAAAGCACGACAATTTTAGTTTTCTTTAACGTCGCCTCGAGACTCAGGTCACTCTGAAAGGTGTCTGATTGAGAACCGTGTATAAGAGTGGCCTAGGACGGAGTTGAAACAATCTTATATCTGACGGTTTTAGTCAGTGTTCAATTAAAGCCGGGATTCCAGAAATGTGGTGCGCTGCCACTAGGGGGTGTGCAAGAAAAAAAGTGTGATGGAGGTTCGTGGGATTTTTTTCCCACACAATAAATAAACAATTACTTTGTAAAGTTTGACATCAAAAGCTGTGATTTTATTTATAAAATAATAAATATATACTAAATTATGTATTATTAATGATTATAATTTATATTATTTTATGAATAATAAAAAAAAATATATATAATTTTTTTTTTTTTGGAACTGCTGTATTAAAGGACCATCAGCTCATTAGGAAAATATTGACTTGATATCGACTTCCAAAACTAGATGATGATAATCCACTGACCAAGGTTTTCGGCAACACGAGGGTTAAGTCTTGGTTAATCCACTCATTGGATAATGTTTTGTCTTTACTCCGTGCCACAACACCACTCTGGTAAATTATACAACAAAGACAGACTGCAATATGATGCACTTCCTGCACAGACCACACAGTTTTACTAATGGATGAGGCAAAAAAATATAGATTAAGAACCTGAAGGCCCTCACATGAGCTCCGTTCAATTATTCAGCAACAGTGGCAATAACTGCGTGTAGCTTCGGGGTAAACGTATGGAGCAGCCCTGATGCTTGAAATTTCACACTGGTGTTTGAAGTGTATCGTGTTTTTCCACCTGTGAAAACGACTTCAAATCTAAACCTGACTTCTGGTTTGAGCAGAGATGTTACAAGGTGATTAACTTTTTCCCCGTCTGAAATAAGGTCTAGGCTGAGTGTAATTAACCTTGAGGTTGGAAGGCCTTCATATTTAAAAAGTCAAACCCAAAGTTTTGCCCCCTCCACACACACACAAGTAAATGTCAGTCCCTCTGCGGCCTGGCTCTGAAATAAGTAGATTTATGAATGCAGCAGTATAACAGTTTTATATCAGTGAGAAATAAAACCCCCGGCACACACTGGGGGGAGGAATCACAACTGGGCCTCCTGCCAACGAGTTTCCATTTAGCTTAATTTGAAAAGTCTTGTTACAGCAGTCAAAACTGTCCCAATACTGAAGGGCTAGTGGAATCTGCGGTCCAGGTTTTTCAAATGTACCACTGGACGGAATAGTCGTATTTCTCCGAGTGAAAAGAAAAGCTCTGCCGTGTTCAGTCCAAGGACACAGTAAGAAAGCTCAGAGTGGAAAAAAAAAAAAAATCGATGACACTTGTGCTGCACTGCCTCCCCCATTCCTCCATTCCTCCACTCCCCCACTCCCCTTGTGCTGCACTGCCTCCCCCATTCCTCCACTCCCTGCCCCCTCCCTGACACAGACATACATGAACGCTCCACGTCCTCCAGTTTGACAGCTTTCATCACATCACCCTGACACTACAGACGCAAGCTCGGCCTCAACACCAGCGGACCCAGACCAACCGACCGCTCGCTGCAGCCTCGGAGCCAATTATATGCCCCACAACTTCTGTACAAGAGGTATCAGCTCTCCACAAAGCTGGTGCACCGCAACAATGTACTGAACACATGTCCCTGAACAAACAGCTCCACCGAGCCACAAAACCTCTGCGGCTCATTTAGATTTATTTAAAAGCCACAATCAGTTTCCCCCAGACACAGAAAAACATGA